CGTTTGACATTTCGACGGAAGAATTGATGGATGTTTAGATCATGATTAAGATGCCTGATTTGTTGGTTCCTCCGGCTCGGTGAACCAAAATCTTGATAGTCAGTGAACTTTCTCGTTATGGTTCAGAATTGAACACCGATTCAATATTGCCAAATACTTATTAACAAATGCTGGAAAAATGTTGGCGTTTATTTGACTCTCACCCTAATTGGTAGTTTTTGACTGAACGAAATGAAAACCATTTGTTAGTTAAAATGGGGCATTGGAAACTTTGTCTGAAGAATGCAGTCCCAGTAATGTCCCTCCGTCAGCTTTTTGACCTGCACTGTATTTCATCTACTATCCAACAGCTTCCTGTCTTCTGATGTTAAGACTGTCAGACTTGGTGGACGACTTATGGTGAGGACTCGGTGTTATTCTGAAGTTAATACAAGTTCTGATGATGGTACTGAAGCAAATGAACTTCCTTTAAGTATTGCTTTCTGTACCTATGCTTTGGCGATCTTTAGACGTGAACATGAGTGCATCCAAAGAGGGAAATTTTTTACTCGATAATTCGACATCTAGGTTAGGATTATTTTATATTTACTATAGCTCACGTGCAACTTCAATATTTAAATATTAGAAATAGTTGACAATCCAAAGTAACAGTTTTTAAAATTGAGTGACCACGAGTTGTTGATGTCAATAAATATTGTAGAACATGTGCACAGTTGGAGTGGTGCTTTGTGATCTATGAAGATGAGAGATTTCCTTTATCAGATAATCAACTGTGGTGTTCTATAAAAATCCCATTTTATGTGGTTCTGTTTGTATATATTTGTTTGTGTTTGTAATATACATTTGTAGATATTCCCTTGTTCCTCGTTACAGGTAATATTTATTCTAATGTTGTCAAGATTTGAACATCTGCTTCATATGATAAGAACACTTTTTCCTACCTTAAAATGAGAAATTGGTAGTTTAACTTGTTCATGTGTATATTTCGTTTCTCGCTTCAACTGTTGTTCAGATAAGATGAACTTGCATGATTGATTTAAGAGCATCATTTGGTCCTGTGGTTTTGTATATTGTGTTAATCACACTTCAGAATAAAAAGAGCGGTCATACGACTTCCTCGTATTCGAACGTTCTCCGTGTGCTTTGATTTAAATGATTAACTAAGTGACGTAGAAATAATTTGTCTACGCTGCCGGGTGTGCTCTTTTATGGTGGAAACGTAGTCTATTTGTATTTTTTGAGGGCTAATTTCTTAACAAGTTTATTAGTTGTGATCGAATTTCCGGTTGCTGAATAATTCTTCAGCCGTATAACCTGATTATGATATTCGTCTAAGTACTCTGTAAAATTCATATTGACAACTTTTATGATTAGAACCAAACCAAAAATAACGCTTCACTATTCATTAATAACCAATTAGATAAGGTCCGAATGGTCGCTTGTTTTCATAACACACCATTATTTAAGATGAATTACAAATATAAATATTACACGAATGGTTAATCAAATTAGTAATGAAGACATTCCGCTACGCGTAATATAAAACCTCTGGAAAGAGATATAGTGCGATATACGTGTAGAAGTATGGTCTAGTCCGTCATTAGTACTGCCGTATTGATAGACCTAATCTTAAAATTGTAGATTTGTCACGATGTGACCACTTAATCTATAATATCGTATGTAGAAGTCATATCATTATCTAAAGTCACTCGTCGTATCGTGACCTTTGTCATTATGGTGCTTCCCACTTAGGAAGAACACATTTTGGCTGCAAAGTGAATAATATATTTGACGTGGAAAAGTATGGGTGACACAAGAATAACCACGTATACAAGGCTGAGACACATCATGCCGATTAATCATTGATTGAATGAAATGTTCCCACTAACGTTTTGCAAGTGCTGCGTGTTGAATACAAATCTTTCCAGTAATTACGCGCTCTGACTCAAGGTGTGTCGTTAGGAATCAATGCCAATACGTATGTAACATCGTGTGGAATGGACAACACACGTAGGGGCCTACCAAGTCCAGATGGACATGGTCGAAACGAGTGTCAGGATTTGTGAAGGAGCCCGAAGGACATTTCTTGTGACTAATCATCTAAGATTTCTGACATCTTGCACTATGGCGTCCCATATCGTCACATCTTTATTCATACAAGGCTAGCAAAATCGTTCTACTATGAGCCTGGTGGTAACATAAACACTTGGATGAGAATGGTCGTGAAACATATTGAATACTTTGCGTCGAGAATGTTTCGGCAGGATTAGAAGACCCCTACCTTTGGATGTGTCATTTGGAACAATTTCCGTACCAGTTTCCATCTGTTTAATACTCAGTTTCAGGGTAGTCGAAGATAACTCGTGCTGAAAATCAGTGTCTCCTTTTTGAATCTGTCTCTTAGCTTCACTAACACATTGAGACTCTAAGCGTCTCTCGGGTTCTGTACCTATGTCGAATATATTCACTTATTTCTTCTACATTTTACTCCTTTAAACGTTTGTCATTTGTACTTTCTTCCTAAACTGTCCCACACTTTATATTTTGATCTTTCAACTGAATGTCCAGTAATATCGTTTCTACCAGTAGTGACACTACAAGTACAAAGCCGACTAACTGAAAAAGAAGAAATTATTCAGAGGTTATTAATAAGTTGCTTCTTTCAGCAAGATTATGAGAAAGCTCAGGACAATACCAGAAAATGATCTCTGAGTATTGTGTACAATATATTTAACTCAACTAGAACACTGAAATTGGAATCCCCACTTAGTAATCAGGATCACACACTTCCTCAGGTCTTTGCTCCTAGAAAGGCTTACAAGCAAGAAGGAAATGGCGAAATCAGCGTCCCAAATTGCTCGTGTTACTTACTATCACTGGGTAGAAACAGGAGGAAGAGATCATGGTATCATACTCATATCACATGTTAGAACCAGTGTCCCAACATTTGAATGTGACCACCGGACTGGCTCGATTCACTGCCGCTGTGATTCAGCAGTGTCTAGGCAGTATTGCGGACTTATGTTAGATCACCCCTGTCCGCAGTTCTGGTACATTCGTCCATTGTACAGAAAAAATGCACAAACAGGACTAACGAAATAGAAGTATGAAAACATTTCAAAAATAGTAGCAACCATTCACATTAACATATCAAACTGGTCCATCACAGGCTCAAACAAACAGTGAAACAATAAAGCTAGCACATACGCCAGCAAAATTATCGACTGTTATTAATACCCTGGTATCTATTAAAAGTAAGGAGCAGTAGGAAAGAAAATTCCAGTAGCATAGCTACTTAAACTCCGAAAATGGGGGACAAAGGCTGTAGAAAAAACACCCATATCTTATCTATTGTCCTTTGTCGGAGATTAGCTTATTAGAAAGTTGGGCGACCATTGATTAAGAACATTGAAACAAATACCGTACAATACTCCGAAAAGGTATCACATCAGCCAACCCATGCCTCTTGCATGAGGGCGTGTACTAACAAAAAGTGATCCCTCTTGGCTAAGGGAAGTTTGGGATTCAGAAGGCCTTACAGAGGAAATTTAATGACATCCTGGAGACCAACGATCAAGCAGTCTTCTCAAATCCAAGTTGGACACAATAATTCGTGTGCTACCATAGTTGCCTCTAGAAGATCAGAAGGTACCTTTGAACCAAATATCATGGTGATTCACGGATAACATGATCTAGTAGTTGTTGGTTGGGATGAAGGTTACGAACACGATATGCATGGTGGCGTTGACCGCCATTCAGTCTTCAGTCTTCAGTCTTCAGTAATAAGGATAGGAGGTCTGTCGACCTATATTAATCCTTGCAGTTTGTAATACTGTGGAGGTCCAATCTCGTTTTGAATATATTAACAGACGGTGCTGATATTACGTGTTCCGGTAGGGAATTCCAGTAATTCACTACTCGGTGCGAGAAACGGAACTCCAGACGTAAACGGTTTGACCTCGGTTTTTGAACTTTCTTTGAATGTCCTCTCAAATGATCGGTTCTAGACGGAAGCAAAAGATAAGACATGTTAATACCAAGGTCATCGTTCAGTATACGATAAGCCAATATTAGATCACCCCGTACTCTACGGTAAGATAACGGAAATAAGTTAAGGTGTCTCAGTCTGTCTTCATAAGATAGGCCAGCTAGACCTTGTACCATCTTAGTAGCTCGTCGTTGGACTCTTTCTAGCATATCTGCTTCATATTTGAAACAAGGACTCGCTGCTTGAATCCCGTATTCTAAATGTGGTCGCACATAAATCGGGTATAGTAATCCAAACATTTCATCATCTAAATACTGGAAAGACCTACGAATTGACCATAATACCCTATAGCCTTTTGCAGCAGCAGCCTTACAGTGACTAGTCGTGTTCACACCACAACAATAATTATCGATAATTGTTACGATACGATGAGTCAGTGTAGACAATGATTAGAATTACACGTAAGATCTTATAGATTAGGCAGTTACATCATGACAAATCTGCAATTTTAGGATTATTTTCATTATTAGATCAGTACTAAAATCATGGTAGACCATAATTCTACAACGTAAAACCCTCGAACTTAGATAATTTACAGACAGATGATCATCGTCAAGTTGATGATATTCATGTCCACTCACTGCTAGCACGTAGCGATTCTTCTTCTTCTTCTTCTTCCGTCTTCTCGTACATTATCAATTAAGTAAACTATTTGTTTATTCTTGATAGAATCATTTCTTCGTACTCGAATTGTCACATTATTTTCACATTGCAACTAGCTAGTATCATGCCTGGTAATGCGACAGCTGCTGGTATACAGAATCCCTGCTGCTCTGAGTCAAACCTACTCACTCAAACTAAAATATATACAAATCCAACTACAACACTGACTAGAATTATTGCATTCGATTGGCTAGGTTACAATCAATAAGACATAAAAAAATTCCTGGAACCATACCGAAATATCAGGAATAGACCGTGAAAAAATCAGTTCGTTTATACAAACTAATGACAAAGTTATTGGATATTTGATGGTCAGTTTTCGGGACATTTGGATAACCTTTATTGGCGGCACAGTTGTATTAAGTTTTCTTGAAAATGCCTAACACGAAGGGAGATGCCATGCGAGGTTTAGCCGTTTTTATCTCTGATATCCGAAACTGTAAAAGTAAAGAAAGCGAAATACGCCGCGTCAATAAAGAACTCGCAAATATTAGATCAAAATTTAGGGGTAATAAGTAGATAATTTGTAATGCTTTGTAGGTGATAAAACACTTGATGGTTATCAGAAAAAGAAATATGTCTGTAAATTGCTGTTCATATTTCTTTTGGGGCACGATATTGATTTCGGACACACTGAGGCAGTCAATCTGCTTTGCTCAAACCGATATACAGAAAAGCAAATAGTAAGAGTATTTTGCAAAATAACACCTATAGGGATATTTATTCATATCTGTACTCATCAATGAGTCACACCCACTCATGAATTTGGTTATTTCACGTCTTAAGGATGACCTGAATAGCCGGAATCCTGTGTTTATGAATCTTGCATTGCAATGCATCGCCAATATAGGGAGTCGTGAAATGGCTGAAAATTTTGCAGACAAGATCCCTAAATTACTTGTATCAGGGTATGCCCATGCTTGTTCATTACCACCTTTAGTGATACAATTGACTCCATCAAACAAAATGCTGCCCTATGTCTTCTGAAGTTGATTAGGGTTGCTCCTGAACTGATTACGTATGATGATTGGACTGTTAGAGCCATGCATCTACTTAATGATCAACATTTGGTGAGTTTAATTGTTTATTGCTTATGAAACTAGTTGTATTTCGAGTATGATACGCTGAAATTAACTCCACCATACTAGGTATGCAAACAACCCCGCTTTCAATTGTCCATTCTAATGTCAGGAGTCATATTATTTGAACATATTATTTCTAGTGTGAGTTAATTACTGCTCATTCTTAAACGTGCTCTAGGTCACGTAAAGTTAGCTTGACTTTGTTGTATTAGGAATACTTCATAGATCGTCGAATATCGACTTCATTTCAATACACCTATGTATACTTGTTGGTAAATATAGTCTGTTCTCTGTTGAGTGGATCACACACATCTGTGTAATGCACGTTTTACGATGGAGAGTCGATTAACTTTTGTAGTTGACACTTTCTACTGCTATATAATTCACCAAACACAAACCGGCATCGAAGCTCACTTCTTGTGAGCACTAGTAGGACTCCCTGATTGCTTAAACTGAAATGGAACAGAGTTCAAACCGACTATTCTTTGTCTAAAGGTCAAACCACCGCCCTGTTATAGTTAAACTGCGAAGGTAACCGGCCTATAGATCGAAACCTCTTCTTTTCAAATCAGTGATTTTTGAGTTGTAGGGTCCATGTATAAGGAACATTCTGGAAGGAAGTACTATTTATCTGTTGACATATTTGCTTGTATGACATCATGTTCTGTAAAGTATATAAATTCCATTACTCTGTTTTATTTCAATCAACCATAATATTTAAATTTATCTCACCATTTAGGGTGTTGTGACATCGGCCGTTAGTCTGATCGATGCTTTGGTGAAAAGAAGTCCAGAAGAACACAAAGGATGTGTATCTCTTGCTGTTTCACGCCTTAGCAGAGTAAGAATTTTTGTTGCAATATGGTTATTTTAACATTACTTGTCTCATATTTTATGTATTCTCTCCCTTCGCCTGTTTAAATCTGAGTGTTCAGATCACACGAAATCGCATCGTATTTTTTATAATCCGATCTACGTAGCAGCGCATCTATACCTTCTTCAGATAAAAAACTACAAGTTTAAGAGACAATGCAACTTACTGTTGAGTATCGTAAGATCATTATCTACCAATTCACTATAATGATAGTTCTGCATAACGTTCGATTGTATTCTGGCAACTCCCATTATTTACCCATTTAATATTGTGTTTTTCCAACATGTTATCCATTCAACCCTTAATTAATTAAGTTTACTTGGTTATCACTGCAAATTGAGTGTGTGAATTAGTAGGCTTTGTGTTAATAGTTTGGTGCTGTGTTAGGATTTTCGAAGTCACAGTATTAATAAGCGATCGCGTTATGTTCAGCGATTGCCATCACATTTGCGTTCACTATTACGCTGTTATTTTCAAAATCGTTTAGCAAGGAGCGAGTTATAACAGGACTGTGACTATTCCAGATAGTAGCAGTAGTAATTTTTCATTACAGCCTTTCCATTACTTTACGATTTACTATTTGGTTTCTAAACCGACTTACTGCACACATATATTGTGCGGGAATCCTGATTTACATAGCTCATAAACATGATAACTAAACTTTTGTGATTGATATCTGAATCCATCATTTCAAAAATTCATGTTTCCTCTATTTCCTTCCAGTTAATAACATCTTCTTATACTGACCTACAAGATTATACCTACTACTTTGTTACTGCTCCGTGGTTATCTGTCAAGTTACTACGTCTACTTCAGAACTACCCACAACCAGGTACAGTTAATTGTTACTACAATGTTGCGTTATTTGATAAGATATACCGTTTTGCGATAATTTATTTAATATTGTACTTTTAATTTTTATTATCTAGAGGATACTACGGTTCGTGCTAGACTTGCTGAGTGCCTCGATACTATTTTGAAGAAAGTTCAAGAAGCTCCAAAATCAAAGAAAGTACAACATCCAAATGCTAAGAATGCTGTTCTTTTTGAAGCTATCAATCTTATAATCCATATGGATTCTGATCCCAAATTGCTTGTCCGTGCTTGTAATCAGTTAGGACAGTTCCTACAACACAAGGAGACCAATCTACGTTACTTAGCTCTTGAATCATTATGCTTGTTGGCTACGAGTGAATTCAGTCACGAGGCAGTCAAGAAACATCAGGAAACTATTGTAAATGCACTTAAAGTAAGTCCTATTTAGATAAACACCAGTTGTTATTGTGTTATAAATGTCCTGGGAGCTTAAAAAGCATATTAAGTTTAAAAGCTTAAACTTTCAATGAACTTTAGTAAAGGTTTATTTAGATTTATCAAAATCAAGGGTTGAAAGCACCGTCCTTTAAAATGCAATTGTCGCTTTGTTTAGGGACCATATTTTCTCATTGAATGAGAAATATGATTTAATGTCTTTCTAAACCATAAGTGGTTTGATGCTGTAAGTCAACTTTTACTTTATAACGATCGAAAAGTTTTTAGCACTGAACAAAAAGCGCTTGACTTGGCGGAATGTTGCTATTCGTAGGAAATTGATAGGTAATGACTTTTCATTGAACTCGGTCGTGTGCTATATTACTGAAAATTGCCCTTGAAGTCAATGGTCCGACTAGATGTGAACAGGCTTTCAACCTGGTCAGTCTCTAACTAAATATCCGAACAATAATCTAGGTTATGCGTTCCGTTTTTAAGATTTCAATGATTGATGTTATTATTGAATGCTCTTCACTAGTTTGTTTGGAATTGTGAACTTGGATTCCACACCATTTAACACCCAGCGTCATTGTGAAAGATGTTACATTAAGTAAAGAAAGCATGAAAATGTGCATTGATATAATCCAGTACCTGTCATTATGTTGTTGATTTTACTGTTTAGAGTGAACGGGATGTTTCAGTTCGTCAAAGAGCTGTGGATCTCTTATATGCTATGTGCGATCGAACTAATGCTCAAGCTATTGTAGGGGAGATGCTCAGCTATTTGGAAGTAGCGGATTATGCTATCCGTGAGGAGATGGTTTTAAAGGTTGCTATCTTGGCGGAAAAATACGCAACTGACTATTCTTGGTATGTGGATACTATACTGAACTTAATAAGAGTTGCTGGTGATTATGTTAGTGATGAAGTTTGGCATCGTGTCATCCAGATTGTTATAAATCGTGAAGACGTACAAGGATATGCGGCAAAGACAGTGTTTGAGGTGAGTTTATGTCTCATTTTTAATTATTGTTCAGTTATTTATAATGTATTTTACTGTGACAGTACTCTCCACTGTTTTAAATTGATACTGAATTGCAGTAGATTAGAAATAATTTTATGCTTTCGTTATTACAGTTGTCACACTTAACATAATGGTACGCTAATACCTTTCCATAATTCTTCTGGTTAACTTTAATCATACTTAGATCACTGATATATCCTTATTGTTAGCACAATGGAGAATCATCTGAGTGCGTAAATTAGAAACCTTTGATCTACTATAGCTCATGAGGTTTCATATCAAATAGTTTCTGACTTCATATGGGGTTGGTAACCGAAAACGGATAACCATTCTATTATTATCATTATTTTTTGTTATTATTACTGTTATCACTATTACACTGTTATTATTATAGCTGTTACATAATTGTAATTTGGTGTGCGACCTTTTCCTTTCTGGAGTGCTAAGTTTCTTTTTCAGTTAATTAATCACACTAAATAACCCCGGAAACAATTCAAAGTGAAAACAAAATGAAGAAAAAAGATAAAGGATAGTTGCAGACGTGGAAATATTTACAGAGTACTAGTATAGGTTATATATGATCGTGGACAGAAAAATCCACTTTTTTTTCATGTTGACTACATCTTATCATTGTTTATACAAAAAAAGATTTCCATCTCTGATAAATCAGTTTTCGTATTCTTTTGCTTTTTCCTTGAATTTGGATTATTTCTGATATCATTTTAGCAGGTTTTCTAGCATCTGTTTTTAACAGGAAGAAACACATTCATTTCAGCTAACTAGTTCATCCAATAATGCACTGTTCGTCCATCATTTTTACATATATATTGTTTATATATAGATATCTTTCAGAAGCTTCACGAACTATTATGCGATTTGACTTATAATTACTATTATTTATCACCATCATTCATTTATTTCTTCTTTGCATCTTATATCTTGTTAATTTCTCTCACTGCTAATGTGTTATGTCAATTTCGGATAATACATATTCGTGCCAGCTCCTAAATTAACAATGAATTATTCGCTTTTATTACGTTTATTGTTTTCATCTTATTGTGGAGATTACTGAATCATAACAGAAATGATTTTTTAAAAGTCACATATCTCTATTCTGATTCTTTAGTGATAATCATTAACCTTGCTAATTTACAGGCGCTTCAAGCTCCTGCATGTCATGAAAATATGGTTAAAGTCGGAGGATATATTTTGGGTGAATTTGGCAATCTGATTGCAGGGGACCCAAGATCAGCGTAAGCTTTCACATTATTTAGTTTTTTTCCATTTTTTGGATGGGAACAGTCAATATTTCCATGAACAGATTTACTTCGCTACTCCACTGTTGTGAATGTATCCATCTAAAGTGAAAGATTTTTAGTCTTTTAAAAACCTGTTACTTGTCTTTTAAAGATTTTTTCGACGTTGGATTTATAAAACTGTACCTGTAAAGTCTAATATCGTTTCTCAAAGTGGAAATGTGGTATGACGGTTGAAGTATGTGCTTTCAAAATAATGTGGTCATAAGTTCGAACCATACTTCACTTCGGTTTAGGCAGTTAGTTAGTATCACTGGCTGTTACGTGTGTTATATCTAAGGTTGTAAATAATGGTTTATGGAATGCGTTATCATACTTATTGGTGATTATTAAAACGCAATGATATTATGTGACGTAGTGGCGACTGATTTATTGATGTAACCCGTCGAATGAATTCAAATAGGAAGACACGATAACTTGGCACCAGAACAGTTTTTTCTAGTGAAATAACATACCTGCATAATTAATATTAGGCCAAAAAATGAACATGATTACATTTTATCATTGGTTAGAATATCCTAGTTTTACAAGCCACTTGTGAACAAATGAGCCAAGATTTGATTGTTAACCTTATCTTTTTCCCATTGAATCACAGACTTAAAGTCAAGTGTATGATATAAGATTTGTTAAGTTGTTTCACAACATGCTTTTAGAATAACAAATGTATACAGCACAGTGGCTAATACCATGCAGATTTATTTTAACGTCCGATTGCTTTTCAATATACCAGTGAACGCTGTTATGTAATATTATGATTAAGAATATAAGTTTTATAGTCTATTTTCATGTATACCTACAAAATTAGTTGCACGGCACCCACATTTCATGCCGTTTCAGCGTACCATTCGTTAGTTGTGTAGGCTCAAAAACTGGAATAAAGTGGCAATTGATCGGGTTGATAATTACAGATCTAATACGTAACTTTTTAAATCCCACACTACCAATTATCAACAAATAACTTTTACTAGATTCTTTTGTCATAGATCTTTTGTAAATTTATAAAAATTCTACATTATTGATTGTTTCTGTTTTGTAAATTCATTTTTTTATATCCAAAGACCTAAAGTACAATTCAATTTATTGCATAGTAAATTTCATTTATGTACTCCAACTACACGTCAACTATTGTTGTCCACGTATATGAAGTTTATCAATTTGTTTCCAGAAATTAAGTCTGATATACAGTCTGTACTACAAAATGACAGTAATTTACGCAGTTCCAATGTAGAAATACAGCAACGAGCTACTGAATATTTAGCGCTATCGCGAATCGCCACTGATGACGTATTGGTTAGTCTTTTTTGTAATTATTCATTGTATAAATTATTACTACTGAAAATAAAATGTAACGGAAATTAAAAACACTCTGTATTAGGATTGTTGGTGGGATAGGATTTCTCTATGATAAACTGAAATGTAATGGTTTCATTTTTAGGATCATGTTTAAACACATTCAATTTTCGCTCCATTTACCATACTTTAAATTTACTGGTAACGTAACGGTTTAAAAAGTCACTACTTCAATGCATCTCACAACATCTACAACCTTTTCTTATCTTGATTCCCAACCCCTTAACATTTCAGCAAATCCAAAGAAATGTGATCATTACTGTTATTTGATCAGCATTATCATAGCAGTTGGTCTGTGAATCCTAAACGTTAACTGACGTTTTTTTTCAAATCGTACTCCATAAAGCTTACGATCGCTGAAAATTATTTCCTTCAATTGCTGTTCATTATTTTCGTATTTTATTTATTTAGGTGTTATTTAAATTTCTTGAAAATGTAGAAAGAAACTATTTGGTTTGCATTTAGACGTTTGTTGAAGATCATGTTCTTTGTCGAGTTCTATTGAAGATGAAACTTTTTGAATGGGTCTGGTTCCCGAGGTTGAATTCTGTTCCATGACCCATTTCATTATCAATGTGTCAACGAATGAACTCAGCGTGGACCATATTTAAACAAATGACGATGATTATAGACTGTAGGGGAATGTTTATTACTACTTATTCAACCATATTTGACGCAGATACATTCACACTTTGTCGTCCCTTAAAACCTATGTAAATGTCCATGTACCTTATTTTCTATATTTCTTTGCCTAGTCTTTTCTACTACACTTGATGGTGTTACTTTTATGACTTTATGTCCTGCTTTTTATCACGTGATTTATCCACCAATCAAAATACGACTTATACAATCTTAGCACTGTGCCAAACCAATGACGTTCGACTGGTATGGGCAGCCTATCGTCCTTATTGGTCATATGCCCGCCTATCCCGTCCACTTGAGTCCAAGACACCAGTACCAGCTCCCATTATGCGAATCTGATCGAATCATTTATTTCAGACATACTGGGTTTATATATCAGTCAAACAGACGTCAACGCACCATAAAATAGGAAATAACATTTGTACACAATAAAGCCAAAAAGTGACTGAGCGTGAGAGGCAGTAGTCAATAAACTGAACATAGCTTAAGAACAGTAAATCGTACAGTAATAAATCATAGGTCAAAATGAATCTTATAATAAGAGGAATATAAATATACATAATCTAATTATTGACTAGTTATACCATAAGAATGTATAGATAATATTAGTCAATTAATATGTCTCAGAAGTTACTGGTGATTTAATCTTCGCTCGGATATAACAGTTACTACTTCTGGTACTGTAGGATTTGTCTTGATAATTTCATTTCACTGTACTAATTTTGTATCGCCACTTCAGCTGTAATTTTTGGAAGTGAAGTGTTTTAAATTAGATCATATCGTACAAAATAAAGAGCTTATTTCTCTCTCACGACTTGTGGCTTAAAATCCGATTGGTTTCGAAATTGAATTCCACCATACTTAATGTAGAAAGTTTTGTTGAAAATTATTCTCATGAAGTGATTGGGAATTTATTAATTTGTAATTAACCTTGAAGATATTATGAGTTTCCATGAGTTTTCAAATTCATTGTCGAGTTTATCTTCTCTCGTAGTACTTATTTACCTATGCTTTGAGTAAAATTGAAATGTTGAGAATATTTCTTGATCCATATTTTCTTATCTAGTTCATAAATTACAAATGTAAATGGTTTTTATTCTGGTTTTATTATCTCTTTTTTGAAAAAATTCTTTGTTCACCTATTCTGTGTTATATAATAATTATCCATATTATTTCTGACATATTTAGGCTACTGTTCTAGAAGAAATGCCACCTTTCCCAGAGCGTCATTCCAGTATTTTAGCTAAACTTAAAGCTAAAAATCCTAATACTGATGGTACAATATCAAAATCGGAAGCTGTTGGGGAAAGTTATGCTTTGAATTCAACCAAAGTTAGTTTTCAGTTGTATTATTATCTATTTTGTTAGATATGTGTGTACCAGTAATGTGTTATTCCTTCATTGTACTTCAGTTGGGACGATACATTTCACGTTTTGAATCTGTTTTTCAGAACTCTTTTTCTACAGCTATGACAGTATGTCCACAGTTTAGGACAACTCTAAACTGATTTTAACCCGGTTTCCACATTCTTAGTCATTTTCAAGCCCTAATACATATTGAACTCTGTGGAAGTGGTAATTATAGGATTATTTTATCCTATTTGATCATCTTTATCACAGTAAAGAATAATTTTGTTTTGGATTTTGAAAGCTGTCCTATGTTAAACAGATAGATAATCAAGTGCTTGGAGTAGAACCACTACCAAGTTGTTTTAACATATTTATTTACTCCAATCGTTATACAATTGTGGATTAAAGTAGGTAATTCCCTTCCAATAGCCAAAACTAAGAAAGAATAAGATCGTAACTATTATTTAAATTGAAATGAACAGTTACTGACTTTTTGATGAAGTCAGGTCACCCCATTTAGGTTACAACGTTGTTATTATTCTGTAGTTGAAAGCTGGTGGGAAAGTATCGACCCTCAAGATTTGTGTCTATCTACGTTGGTGTACATTCACAAACTCTTCATTTTAGCCAAAAAATAATGTAAATGCAACTTTTCACTCACTGGCTCTAAAACACACAAAATGACAAAAATCGGTAACAATGTCTAGGTTAAATAAACGTAAAATCTTCATTTCCATACATGTAGGATAGTAGTAGTGCATATGTTTGCGTGGTTAATGTCTACATCATCATTGGTACATCATTATTTGTTAGCACTTTATATTACATAGCTAACCCTTGAGCATTTTAAAGCTTTGAATACTAGACACTAACCACTATACCTAGTGAAAATGCTAATTATGTTACTAGTTAGTAATTTTGTTTACTTTATTTGCTTAGTGATCAATAGTTTGGTTGTCTAACTAATTTTTTGACGAATAATATAACTTAACATCCGAATTCTTAAACATTATAAATATTTAGAATCACACATAGAGCTTATTCATTTGATGATTAAATATAATTTATATGATGATATTCATACGGTCACTGGAATTTTGAAACATTTCGAAATGATAACACCTATTGGGTTGTTGGCAATAGATTTTTAAATAAACGTTAACTTCATCGATTCGTTGTTTTGTACTTTAGGTGATATATATATATATATATATATATATATATATATATATATATATTAAGGAGAAATAAAATTTCCTCAAATAAAAATTATTCATAACAACTGGTTTACACAAGTTAACATCCATTGTATACATCCTGTAACCTATTGACTCCTTGAATTAGTTATTTTACCACAAAACTACACAGAACATCTGTTTATAAAATTTGTAGCAAATAGGAATAGTTATCCTATTGTTTTAGTGTTTTTTTTGTTGTTGTTGATAGGATGTCAATTCATTTTGATTCTTTTTAGTTTTGTTTAAGCACAATCTCTAGTTTTTAGTTTATTCCATGTACAACACTTATCTTTATTTAGGCAGTGTTGCTTCTTAAACTTTAACGTTGTCTGGTTAAAAACAATTGTAGATGTATTTCAAAGTAAGCAAAGTTATAAAAAAAGGTAGTTTTCGTCACTGACTGACATTAATTGTATAAAACCAATAAAAACTAGAAAGCATTAAATGGATAGTTTGCTTTTCTTATTTTTAAACATCTAGAAATATATTCATAAATTTGCAAAAAACCCAAATTTCATGACTTTCATATTTCTAAGCACCATACATTTGGAATTATCGAATCTTATACATTACGGTTACTCCAAACAAAACTTTCCTCTAAATCTCTTTGGTTTTAAATAGTTTCACAATTGATTTTAATCAGTTATAAAAACTATATTTAGATTAAACTAATCTCCACAAAACATTTTACTAAATAAATCAGATAGGATTCTATTGGGATCATCACTAGATCAGAGTGCCTTCATACAATATGAAAACCATACATTAAATACTTCATTTGCACATTTTCCATCTGTTTTTTCTTGCAAACTTCATCGTTCCTTCATTTCTCTTGTTATTACAACCAGTCTCTGTTTACATTCCTGTTCTCTTCAATTCGATCTTCTCAACCTTCTGCTGCCAGGCATTCGACTCCTGATTAGTGTTACATACTACTTATATCTGTCAACGTAAGTAGCATGCATCATAATAGTACCGGTTAGTATTTGCTATCGTAATAGACAAGAATGATCTGCCTGAATGTTTTAGCAGCATTTACTCATCTAATATTTTATACCAGAGGAAGAGTGTAATGGTAGTATTTTATTTTTAAATGTTTTTGTCTATAAGAAGATTGAATGTACTGTTAAAAATTGCTTATTCAAAGTCATTATCATTTGATCAATATTCTTAATTCTACAGTTCTATACGTGTTAGATATAAAAGAAAGCATAGTGGAGAGTTTAATTCATTATATCAAACTTATTTACTCCGATGTTGCTATTGAAGAAGAGTTAAGTGACACTCACAACTTACACAGTATATTAACTCGTATCCATTAACATTTGTCAACAAACAAATACTTCAAGCTAGTAGAAAGTTGACGATAAAGACCATAAATAAATAGATTTTTCAGTCTTCTATAAACATATGAATTATCTTTTGATATGGCTAAGAATCGATCACAATGGCGTAGATGTATACACTGTTTGTCTTCCCTTAAACCATCAGATTAAAATTACTTTTCACCTTTCTTTTCATGAACTAATTCTTCCTTCCTGTATTATCTCCCTATACACAATCTTCCTTTTATATATTACTACCAATGAATTAACTACTTATATGATTTTGGTGTCCATCTTTTGCTAATGAGCTGTGGCAACTTGGACCGACGTATATATGTGCCTGGTCCTGTGTTGTGACTGACTTTTTAAAATAACATTATTTTTATTATTATTATTATAAATGGTTTGTGTTCAATAAATATGTTTGATAGTGAAAGAATGTAGGAATACACCTTTCACATTATATGATTTCCTATTTTTCTCCCAAATTGTATCGTGCGTAACAAGTGCATAGACTATTGCCATATGTAATTAAGTTAGACTAAAGTAGTCAGGCAATTTTAATATTAATATAATCCAAGTATTAGATATGCAAACAATTAATGATAAAGGAATATTTCTTATGGTTTAAAAAACAATCAAATAATCATGAAATTTCTTCCTCTATATAATACTTTTGAAAATTAAGATAGTATCTCTAATTTTAAGTTTGCTTAGTAATTTAGTATTAAAACTAGAATATTAGTGATGATTTGAGTATTTTTGTTTATGAAGTTTCAAGTTCAGAGAGATAAAATCTATTAATTATGCTTTAAATACATATTACAAAACATAAAAATGATCTAATCAGATAGATTTTAATGATATGTGCCGGAGTAAAACTATCACAATAATGAGAATGAATTTGCAACAGCAAAAAAAAGCCCAAGAATTAACAATAAATACGATTGCTAACTCCAGTACCTTTACACCTCACTTATCCACATTATTATTATTATCACAAAACAATATTTGACTTGTGGTTGTGAAAATTTATTGTTTTTTTTCCATAGCGAAAATACACCTTACATGTTTAACCAACGTAAAATTACTATTAAAAAAAAAGAATGAATAACTTATTCCGATTGATCTAGTCCTTTGAATAAATTGTTTGATAAGACTATTCAGAATACAAAACTTTAAGAATCAAATTTTAAAGAGTAAAAATTCCAGCTTGGACAAATATTCAACCAGTTCTTAGACAATCAGAAACCAGTCTTTGTAGATGGATAGTTTACGAAAAATAACAATATTAAAACCTATAAAAAGATTTTACATATTTAATCAATCTGTGGAACTCTTCTACAGGTTACTCTCATTGTAAATTGAATAAAAGACGAAACATGAAAATGTTCGTTCTTATGAACATAGATTATCCGTCTTTTAGGACTTGTCACATTCTTCATTCCGTTTGACTCGTCCACATACTTTTTATTTTTACTGAAAATTCCTAGTGTTGATTTGTAACTTAATCATTTCCCATCATTTATTTATTTGCATGTAGTTCATATTTTAATTTTTAATATCTCGTCGTAGAATTGTATAATTTACGATTTTAATTTAAGTCAATCAATATGAAGTTACATTTGTTGTTTATGTGATCCTGTTATCTGAGTTTACTCATATTTGATAATGTATATTTTATTGCTTAAATTCGGTTAATCATAGAAGTAGTGAAGTGTGTTCAGATTGTATATGTGTACTGATTATTCTTTTTCTGCGTTGTATTAGCCATATAAGTTATTAGTTGTTATTGTACTAAATGGACTTTTTTTGCCACACAAGTTGTATAGTTAGTCAATTGACTTCACTTCTTTTTCCTGGTTGGGTGTGAAATCAGAAAAGATAATTCTTATAGATATTGGTCATAGTATTATGATATCTGTTCACACACTATAAGCTAATATTTCTCAACGTCAGTACAGTGAACGCGACGATTACTATCGTCTTCTTTCCTGCCTCACTTTCCAGAATAAGAAGTCTAGTTTCATATCGGAAGCCTTGTTGATAGTGGTCCCTGTATTATGGAAAATAAATTTAAGTTGATTGGTTGTATTATCAATTACTATGAATATAATTTATGAACTACATAATTACCACTAAACACAAATCTTAGTACAAATACATTGAAGTTGATAATTCAATGTTGTGAAAGTGTTTTAAAGGTTGATAGTACTTTCATTTTAAGTCTATATTAATTTCCTGATAAGTTGTATTTGTGGATTACACATCTCCAGAAGTTATAAAATAATATATCTTTTTTTAAACGTCTGACAACTGACCTTTAGTTTCCCTTATGGAGTAGTAGTGACATCAACATAGTAACACAACTTTTACAATCGATTGTTAAAATTTACGAGTATACTTAATAATGTTTTTCCTTGACATTTGGACTGCTGTTTTCTATTACAATGTAATTCTTCACTTTTGAATTATTGCAAGTTGGTCTTTTCTGTTATAGTCAATGTACATCAAAGAAAAAATATATATAAAGCAATTTAGAGTAGTTGCTTATCAATAGACGCACAAAAGCACAAAAATGAATCCGAAATAAAATGTATTCCTTAAAACGCTGGCGTAAAATGTACAAAATAAGAAACATGAGTATATATTGCTATCTTTGAAAAGATTACGAGTTCGCCTAATCTGCGAACGGAACGAAGACCCAGTGACACGATGACCAAATAAGCTAACAATTCCGATGCGTTCGACCTCGTCTAACTACAGAAAAGTCCAGGTTCAGCAGTGGCAGATGTATTCCAAAAGCACAATTCAGGCGTATATATATATATATATATATATATATATATATATATATATATATATATATATATATATATATAAATTACAGGAGAAAGACTTCTAAGACCTAAATTTGTTCACTGGCACCCTTTGGTTTAAAAGGAATTAGTTAGCTTGTGTAAATTTTTCTTGCACTGAGGATACGATCGTTAAGCATCTATTCTCTTAACAGAGTAAAATCTCAACCAATAGGTAGTAGAGTAATTCAGTGTAGATAAAGAAAACTGATTCAAATTTCATGATCTTGTTTCCTATCTGAACAAAATTTGGTTGTTTTTTTATTAACTCCTTTTCTTTCTTTCCCAATCCAGATCGATCATGATAATAATCACGATGTTAATCGTGAAGCAGATTTACTCAATTTCGGCAATCCTGGTACTGTATACAATGAGGTCCAGTCAAAACCAAACGGATCATCTAGTCTATTAGTTGATATAATGGGTAATGGTTTGGCTTCTCCGGATATGAACAATTTACTTCATGCCAGTGGTGATCAATACATAAATCATAAAGAATTCACAAAGTATGCTTGTTGGCTTTCTATCTGTCTGTTGATGATCTATAATCAGTAATATGGTTGACTAATGTTATTCTATTTTATAGATAATGTTTTTACTAATGAATGACTGGACGGTTTCATCCAGTATATGTCTTTATTTACAAAACTATATAATCGTAGAAGATTTATTCTTTAAATTTAAAATACAGCATTATACACTGCTTTTACAACTCGCTTAGTCATCTAAAAATAGATTTGCACAAGTTTGTTATGTGCCAAATCCTATCCGAGGCTGCTAATTTAAGCTAATTTTCCACAGAGCCATTCAGCGTTACCATTTTAATTTCTTTATTTTTGTTTCTCCAATAGTTTTCTGACAAAGCCACTGAATTACTAAAGGTAGTCATATTGCACAGAAATGAAATAGGTCTATATACATTAATGTTTACTGTCATTTACTGTTCAATATTCGTTCCTCAACTAACTTATATGATGTGTGGAATTTAACTACATTCCACGAGGCTCTTTTGACTGTGATTTTGAAAGTATGTTTTTTCCGTCGCTTGTTTGTTTGTTGTTTCTTCATCCAATATTCATTTCAGTTTTGGAAATATCTGTTGATTTTACAAAACAAATATTTGTATATTTTTGGCAAGTAACTAATTTCTATATAAGACGTATTGGCAGCTAACAAACTCTGTACTTTAAATCAGATTTTACTATAGTGCGCTACTCACTACATACTCTTTGTTGAAATCTTCCGTGAATTAAAACACCCTAAACACTTTCAAGATTAATTTTAAAGTTTCATTAGATGTTATTGTTTAATAAAATACATTGTATTGCAGTGAGCTGACGAAGTTATTGATGTGTACACTTCTGTTCCTTCCTATGAAGTGACTGTACCTGTATGTTCATACACCATCTATACATTCCTAGCATTATTAAAGTGTAGTGTGTACACCTAGAGGGTAGGGTAACTAATTTGTCAAATTTTTAAGCATATGAAGTAACAGAAAAATGTGTTTTATTTACAACGACGGCTGCTGCTATGTAGACAAAGCAATTATCGCAAGGCTACCAGTCAGAAAATGAATAGCAGGCAACTGTTTAAAGCTTTTGTGAGGTTTTAAGCTGGTTACATTTGTATTTTCAAATTGATCGGCGGTCAAATTCGAATCTCAGTTCTATTTACTATTTTCCTTTCCTCTCTCTCATGTTTACCAGCTTTCCATTTGTATTCGTAATTTTATATTTTTTGTTCTGTCAATCATAGTTACGAAAATTGATCAGTTACACACTCAATTCTCAAATTATCATGTATATAAACTGTTCACTAAACTTACGTAATCCATATTTTGGATTTGTCGTGTTTTGATGTGACCTCAGTTGACCAGTATTTCAAATAAGGGCTTCAACAGACGAAAATATTTATTTTCAGTCATTTTATCTCACAATTTATTTCTACCATCACACATATTTTTCTTTTTGTCAAAAAAATACCTGATTGTCATTTCAGGTGTTAGGAAGTAGTCGACAGGGTCTCCTTTCGGTTATCTTCAACCGTACAACACGTTAACGTGGCGTACACTGTGTTGCATCACTCAGACTAATGGCCACATCTTGGTCGATGGGATTTGATCAATACCAATAGGTCTAGAAAATCATAGCATTTGTCACCGCTCAGTAATCAATTAAATTTTGAGTAGATCATAATATTTTTTTCATTTTAGGAGAAAATATCTGGAATTCTCATTTATGAAAAAGACCTTATACAATTTTTTTCCAACACGTTTTGAGTAAATCTCTTTAATTTTAGTTTTTTTTTCATTATATAAGTTCTTGTTATTCTGCAGTGTTATTCTTTCTGCCTCTTTGTTTCCAGCTTTTTGACAAGGCATAATGCGATATTATATGAGAATTCTCTTATTCGTATTGGTATTCGAATGGAATCTTGTGGTCAGTTTTGTCGTTTAGGTGTATTCTACGGGAACAAATCTCCTCATCCATTCACAGTGTTTTGTTCTCAAGTCACTTGTCCAGATGCAATGGATGTGAACGAATTGGCTAAAGCTATTTCCATTGAACTTCAACCTGGTCCTGATCGAATTGAAGCAGGGACACAAGTTCAACAAACATTAAATGTTGAATGTTTACGTCCTTTTACTGAAATAGTAAAACTTGATGTTTCTTACTTGTAAGTAAATTTCTTTATCAACTTTTTTTCACTCTAATTCATTTAGAAACTATTGATTTTATATATTTAGCTTTCAGCTACACCTTATAATATTAGTCGATCGTCAGGTTCAAATTTATTATCCGATGCCCATTAAAAGAATTTTATGAAAGATTTTGTTGTGTCTTGACTGAAAGACTAGAGAGCAGCGTATTATCGATCGGATCAATGACACGTAAACACGTAAGGACGACTTAGAGTCCCGATTGGCCCTGCTTCGCTGTCTAGCCCAGCCAGTTGAGTCCAGAACACAAGTCACAGCCTCTGAGATATGAATCATTATATTTCAGACATACTCTGTTTATGTACCAACCAAACAAACCACATCGTACCATAAAATAGAAAACAACATTTGTACAATATTTAACAAGTGTAATAAATATCGACCAATATGGAGTGTACATTTAAAGTCCAAGGCCACCATTAGATTTAACATGATAATTATTGGTATATTTTCTGCACATCCTAACAGATTTAAAGAATAATCTATTTCTGGTTATCTTAAACTGGGCTCTAAAATATCAAACTTGTTAATATGATCCTTTTTCTTGATAAATTGGGAACTGTGTGGGATGACAGTAATAGCATTTCAGAGATCTCATTTTTTCCGTCATTGGTCGTCATTTATTGGATTTATCGTTTATTTTTCAACGTTAGCTTCAGCTGTTTAATCAAATTACAGATAAATGGTCATAACATTTTTCTTAGACCCCATATTCAAAACTCAATTTGGGAGTACAATTATCCTCATATTCTTTAAATCGAGAATCGATCTAAGTTAGACACCCATTAAAAACCTTTGAACACTGGACGGTCGTTCCGTACTATTATGAAACTCCTCATGAGCTCACATCCAGGACCGTGGATCTCGCACACAGACGATTAATATTGTCTCTAAATAAAAACCTCTCACAATACTGCTGCAAAAACATTCCATTTTACTGTGAATAATTGAAATCGTAATTTTCTATGTGCCTTTCTAAGTTTGATCTTGTCGACAGTGATCTATTTATGATCATAACTATAGCTCCATATCTTTGTTTTTCGAGAATTTTCTCACTACATTTGTTGTAAACTGTAACCGTTAGAATATATATTAGTAATATAAGTAGCCTATGCCAGGGTATTTTACGTATATAACTTAAATATATTATTGTTACTATTATTATTACTGCCAACCTCATTAGGTAGTCATTAATCCGGTGACCAGTTATCCGTTTTCGATGTAAATATCACGTATTAAAGTTAGCTCTAGAAAAAATTGATTATTGTTTTTTCTTAATTGGTCTCACTTGTGCATATACACGTAAAATCGTAGCTTTATTCACCCGTCTTAACCTGTAACATCCTATATTTGTTTTCTGTGGTTTTTTTTAAATAGATGTGAAGACTCGAAACAACGTTATGCTCTTATGCTTCCAGTAACATTAAATAAATTCCTTCAACCTGCAGAGATGGATCAAGCAACATTTTTCTCTCGGTGGAAATTACTGTCTCAGTAAGTTTTACTGTGTTAGTGAAAATTTTGGGAACTAATAGTTTTTGTTCAGAGATGGCCAAATAGTTTATTTTTGTGTGGTTATTTTATCAGTTCTTGAATGTCTTGTTTATACTAACCTCTAAGTAATTTGTGTGATCGTTATTATACAAGCAATCACCTCTCGGCTAAAAGAGTGATTAGAAGACTTTGGCACTAAGAATAATATATCATAGATTTCCGTTGCGGGGAGTAGTTTTTGAAATGTATGGACTAGACAAGCATGACATTGATCACCACCCAGTGATCAATCAATTGTGATTACATCTCAGTCCTACAGGAGGTTAGTCACGGCTCGGATAGCTCAGTAGTAACGTCTCTGACTGTGAAACTGGGTGACACGAGATCGAATCCGCCAGGGAGCGTCAGTTCCCTCAAGATTACAGGTACACCTTGCTGACGAGTGCCAAGTAGCACGAAACCCGGGTCCAGGGTTTCCTGTTGACTACCTCCAACCAGCATCTAAATCTCAATACATGGTGCCCGAGGTGTCGAGTCACCTAGACTGTTGGCCACATTGCAACATGATCGATAGCATTCGATCTGCACTAATAAGGACTAGACAAGCATGACATTGATCACCACCCAGTGATCAATCAATTGTGGGAACTATGTCAGCCTCTAGTCTACTCGGGCTGATGAGACTTCCAAGATTTGTGAAGTTGTTAACACAGTCAACTACTTCACTCTATGACCGACGAAGGCTATGGTGCAAACCAGTCCTAAGGAAACATTTTGTATTTAATGAGGGAGGAATTCACTTCAAATCTCTAACAGCACATAAATTCATCTTGTCCACAATCTTGAAACTGATCATCTTTTCTTAGCCACCATGTAAATGATTTAGGTATCTGGTTACAATTCAATATCTGAGAGGCTCAACTTTTAATAAATTGTTTAGTCGCACATATAAATCCTTTTTCACCGCCTTGAATTTAGGTAGTTGGTTAGTACTACTATCGCAATAAACATTCGTAACGTATCTTTTATCCACTGAGTTCGCGAGAATCTCAGTTAAACTGGAAAATATTTAGTTTGCGAGCCGATATTTATATCGATTACCTTTTGAATCTAGTGTCAACCTTATTGTACTAACATTTTTCTGCTTTCCGATATTTGTATTCTCTGTATTTAGTTTGGGAAGAGATTTAGTAATGAGCAGCTAAAGGTTCTTAATGGAAATCCCTTTGAGATTCTTTTTTATACTGATTTTCCTTTGTCCTGCCAGACATGATGTTATATCTCGTTATTTGGGGTTCAGTGCGAGCTTAAACTACTTACGGAATCAAGAAAGCGACTGAGCTACTCTAGTTACGAGCCGTTCTTTTCGTAATTGATAACGGCAACTTGTACATAGCACATTTACATCTTATGACTAACACATGAAGGAAGACGAATTGTTGGATAACTTGATATTCATGGTAAAATAAGCAATGTATACAAAGAATTAAATTGGGAAATGTGTATTTGCAGTTATTGTTTCAAGTTGGATTAAAGCATTTCTGACAAAATTTGATTAATGTTGTGATCACCTTGGCAAATAATTTTATTTCTGATATGTTAATCAATATCACTTTACCAATCAAAATCCTGATTATGATTTCTTTGTCCTTCCTACTTAATTGCGTTTATAGCCTGTTGTCTTAATCCCTAACCAAATGATACTTTTCGAGCGACATGATTAACCTTGTGGTGATACTGACGAATGCGTATTTATTTATTTGAACACATAAATATTGATACAAGAGGGCACCAAATAGATATGCGCCACACCATATTTGTGTGTGTGGGCTGCGATACTGCCCGGGTGCCCAGACCGAAGCAGGTGGTTTTCTTAGAGGGCCACACCCCGAGCCTTTGATCTAAAGGTCTGATCCACAAGGCAGTGGAGCATCGTGAGGAGATGCAGTCCCATGGTAGCCGGTGACCCACGATTGGTTCATACGCCATTTGTTCCTTCAGGATAATGGAGCCCATGTGCATCATTGGTTTGGATCCGGTTAAAGCGCCGGACACTCGCTTTTCGTCCTCTCAACTTCGTAAACAACACCCTCGCCACGAGAAGACAGTGAGTAGGACTTCCCTGGTTGAGGCTGTATATGCGTGGCCGTGTGAGAGCATTTCGAGAGGAAGGGCGGGCCCACCTCACCCTCGGCCATTTCACGTCATTTGGGGGCACTGACGAATGCTTCTCTCCTATTGATCAGTTGCTTCTCAGCCTTGAATCCAAATAAGAGTAGATCACAGCTCCTGTTGTTATTACCATTATTATTTTTATTCCGAGGATACAGGTTTATATACAGACATACCCGGCTACATCATCACTATAAAATAGAAGATAGTATTTGTACACAAAACAAGTCAAAGTGGCAGTGAATCGGATATGCAGTAAATACTTGATTGTCAATAGTTTCGGAATAGTAAAGAAGTATGATATTAATTAGCTAGTTCAACGGAAACTTGCAATAAACGAAATGTAGTGACGCAGTAGTCCAGTTATTTAATTATTAAACGATAGGAATATAAATAATCATAGTCCATAAAATAGTTCCAAGAGTTACCATTAGTATTGTCATTCGAAAAAAGCACCTAGAAATTAATCCCTATTCCACAGTATGTAGGGATTCTGTTTGCTTTTGAGTATCGTATATAGTAAACTTGAAACTTTGTAGCTTGTTTATTTGAGAAAAGCCATTCTTTTCACAATCTATTTTCTTTCACTTTTAGACCTGGACGAGAATGTCAAAAAATTAATCCTCCACTATTCTCATTAGAAACATCTTTCCTAAGAACTACTGTAAGTTTTACAATCAGTATATGTACAACTATTAAAAGAATATGCTTCTACATTTTTTCTTTCCTGGTGTATTATATTTTAAAATAATTCAAAATGAATAAATGTTAAGTATCTTCCTTAATTATGTAAAATTGTGTAAAGAAGACCTGTTTAGTACTTCTGAATTCTAGAAAATTCCCATATTGTGAATTAGAACGATATATATAAACGAACAATATTGTTTTCGTTTAGATCCTCATCACACTATCAATTTGTACTATTTACTTATTGTGTTTATGTTATTTATTCCACAGTCATCACTGAATCATAAACTGCCTTGTTTGGCTTAATAATTTCGTATATGCATATAAATATTACTGTATATTAGAGTAAAGCCTGATGAAGGTCTAATCGAAAACAATATTGTTCGCTTATATATGTTGTTCTATTTCTGAATTCCTATATATTTACGATATTTGTATTTCCACTTCTTCATCATGTCGAACATTGCAACAGTTTCTAGAATTTCTACTAGAATCTGCCTATATTGTCAATGTACCGAATTGCTCGAATGTTGAATTTACTTATTTAAAACTTATACCCTTAGTGATTGGTTCTCAAAGACACCTCTTATTTTTCTGTTTCAATGTGCAATCATGGAAAGATGATTATATCTTTCAATCAGTTTTTCATCTTGTAAGATTTTTAATTCATAGTGATTGTGAGATTGTTAGAAAGTAAGCTAAATAATTTCTTATTCACTGATCTGATTGATCTATGTATAAACTATTTGTTGTCATTTTAAAAAGTATAGTTGTAGAACTGGACAATTGTCTTAACTTCTCAATAAAATCAATAAATAGTTAATAATGTATTAATTAGTTCGCTATAGTGTAACTAGTTACTGGTTTTAAGGAAGCTATATATGTGAACTAGGTGGTTGATATACTTAGTCATAATTGTCCACTTATGTCTCCGATTAATCTCTGTCCTTACAACACCTCCAAATTTGATGGCTTGTAGATAGGTCAGTACGTAAATGTGACTGAGTTAAAGTTTATTTGTATGCTAAATTGTACCGAATTTGCTAATGTAAGTACTAAACATTTAACAAAATTATGTTCTACTGTATCAAATGTGTTTACATATTCACCATTACATTAAGTATACTAATCGTACTATTAATACATGATATTGAATTTTTTAAAATCAAAAGTATTATATTTGTTTGGAAACGATCCGTAGTCTCAATCGAGTCAATAACAGATTGTGACCATTTTACTCCTATATATATATATATATATATATATATATATATATATATTTGCACCCAGGCTGTAAAGCTAATCGGTTATTGATTCTCACTCGTATTTAACTTATAACCTGATGAACTGTTAATGCAGTAAACTGGTGGTCATTCATTTTCTTATCAAATCTAACCTACGGAAGTATAATAATAATAACGATAGTCACTTTATTCAGTATAATATATTTGATAACAATAAGATATTCTAAACAGAGAATTTTAGTATGTAAATATTTGTAATTAACATTTAAAGTTGTAGTTTTTGCTACTCGACTTCAACCGCGATTACTTTCGACCAATTCTCTGATTAGTATTATTCTGATAACAATACGTACATTAGACAGGGCTTGTACTGTGGTTTATACACATGAATTATAGTGTAATTGAGGATCATTATTGGGAATTATAAACAACGAATAATATATTAACTACTCTACTGTTTTTGACAAAGTTTTAGTGTATTCAGCATCGCAATAGTTTGTACATTTTTATAAAAACACTTAATTAAATAAAAAAAATTATTGCTATCTTTGTCATCGTAAAAGAGATAGACTATATTTCAAAGCTAACCTTCTATGTTTATATTAATTAGGTAATCCACTGAATGAGCCCATCATTTTCTGGTGACAGTTTAGGGAATTTGAACATAAATTTTTGAGCCTACTATTCTTTACCTTTGTCATTCTTTTTGTTCACATTATTGAATCCATCTATACCATTCCATACTGCAGAGTCAAGGAATTAGTTTGCTAATCGATATCAACATATCAGCATACTGATACACCGAACAAATCTGAGTAGTTCTTGCTCGTCAAATCATACAATTTACCGATACTGCAAATCATATTATACATATTCTGAAGTATTCTTACCTCCCAACAGTAGACGAGTAATTCGCTTCACTAAAACATGCCATAAAAAATCCTTATATCATTATTAGTTTTCATAAAATATGTGAATATATCTACAATGTGTATGTAAATTTTGAATGTGGTACTTAAATTTGAGCATTATCTACTTAACCTAATTCATGGTTTTCACCTAGATATAGTGATTTAAAATAAAATCAAGATTTACGAGTATTTAAACTCTCCGAATTGTATATTTGACTCATAGTCTGATTACACGATACTATCTTAGATGATTGAGTTTTTTTAATTTTCTGAAATTCTATTTCAGTCACCTAATTAATAACTGAGATTCACACAATGTTTCTTTTTTCGCGTATATCACTTATTCAATTTTTGTCAAAATACCATTTCATAATGACTAGTTAATCTCAACAAGTTATTTCTATTGCTCAATATTACTACTAAATGACTATATAGTAGTGTTTATTGTGTAGTAGTCCTTCTTATATTTGGAGTAAATGTAAAGCTCATTCTTTCGCATTATATTTCTATTTAGAATTCTATTGATCGTATTTTTATTCTGTTTTTGTCTGTAACATTGCTGTTCACGTTGACTTCTTCATGTAAAATAATTACTTTCATTATGTCCGGTGTTATATTTATTTATAGACTAAAAACTTTGGATTTGGTTTATTGGATGGAATTGATCCTAATCCAAATAATGTTGTTGGTGCAGGTATTGTTGTAACTAGTAGTCAACAAGTCGGTGTACTACTTCGATTGGAACCAAATACACAAATAAAGGTATATTTTTAATTATCGAATGTACCCTCCTAATTAATACATTAATTTTTGTTAAAAAGAATTCTTCACATATTTGATAGGTATATACGCAGATACATATTCTTGGCTTTCAGCTGCACTGTTATTTCAAGACCTCATGATACTAGTCGGTTGTACAAACCAAACTAGGTGGAAGGGATTTTAAAAATGGAACTTGGAGGATGAATGCCTACTTATACATGCTATCAAAAGGATATTATTGATTGTTTATTATGCCAGAGAGATTAGTATAAATGAAAGCAACTCAGCAGACTTTTCCCGTGACCAGTTAGGATTCCTCAAATAACTAGTTGCTGCAGTAAATTTATACATTTTTTAATCAATTACTTCTATAATAGTAGTTAATCGGTGGAATACTTTTATAATAGATACATAAGTTACATTTTTTAGCCTAACTATCAAATGTAATTATACTAAAAATGAATTTTCTTCCTGTTTACATTTTTTGGCGGATACTCTACGAACAATATGTAGTCGAAACACTTATAATCTTCTAGATCGTTAGATTTATTTTGTTGTTACTTGAATATTGGTATGCTTGGTATGAAATGTAGAACCTCGGTTTCTTGTTTGTTGATACCCGTCAACATAGTACTTTATACGGTAATGCAACGTAATGATCAACTATTAATTCTTGAGCATGACTCTGTGGTAATGTCTTTGTGTTGACGAATAATGATAACATCGAGCTACCTAAAATGACTTACATGTAGCCAGTTTTCAGTCTACTATAGCTTCAACCTTGAGGTGATTAACGCTTCTTGGAATGTAGGACACTTAAAATAGTGTAGCAGTTATAGATGTTGCACTTTTTAGATATTTGTATGGTAATTTAATTTTATGACTCCTTTTAAATTGTTCATTAACCGCGTGCATAGACATAACATTATATATATATATATATATATATATGCAGTACTAGTCTTTGCAGTGATATGATTACTGGAACAGATTTGTACTCTGCCTGAAAGAGTTTTTGTAATGAACTCGTGAATATTCGTCTTTTAAAACTGTACATTGATTACTTTATGAACTTACACTTATGGTTACTTGATAACATTGATGTTACTATAAGGTTGGAATTATGTTTATATGTTGGGGTACTGTCTAATTAATAACCTTTGAAACCATCCTCTTTTCTTGTTTACGATTCTCATTTATGTTCTTGAAATATTTGAAAATTGTTATTCATATTTGTGCATGATAAAAAGTCGGCCAGATCATTCATCAAACACTATTATTGTCGAATTCTTTCTTATAACCTTTACATGTTGATAGATGATTTGTGCGTCATTTTACGACAGCATGACAAAAATTTATTCTACACTCATCATACTACTTGTTTTTAAAAACTAATATGATTATAAAATAGAAATTTCCGAGCGATCATTTGTTAGTGTACTAAAATACTTTATTTTTAGCGAAATTACCCTTACCTATAGGAAATTCTTTGAATAATCGTTTAAATACAATTTCGTTTCACAATTCTGAACTGAAATCATTAATAAAACAACCGAAACACGAGATTCATTCTTTTGTTAATTTGGCGATGTGAAACCTATTATCTTCAAACTCGAACTTTTAATAAGATATTTAAATTGTTCGAAAAAAATTTGAAGCATTGGTTATTACTGTATATTTATTAAATTACTGGACTACTGTATTGCTGTGTACTCAGTATTATGAGCTTACCTTAAACATACTGAATTTTGTTACACGTTTTAATATTCCTTAATGATTGTTAATCACTGTTTACTTCGTTTCTTGTTACTTATATCATGATTGTGTATAAAGGATGATTTATTTATTGGGGGGGGGTGTCAATATAATAATTCTTCTAAATAAACTAATAAATGTTTTTGTAAATATACTGAATGCCCGGAATATCGTGATAGAATCTATCTTGGTTTGTTTGTTTTGTTATTGAAACTCGAAACCGCGGATGTTAGAAGGCGTGTGTGTCATTGGAACTCATTAGTTATAATTAACTGGACCTCAACTCAAAGTTAATATTGCCAGTCAAAGCTTATTATTGTTCAAGATTTAGGACGATAAATTATGGACAAAACAGTGTACTCTACGTAGAGATACTATAACCAGGGTTCTATTTGGTACATCTTTCTCTAGATATCAAATAACATTACATTCATAATAGTTATTGATAAATAAGTTACATTATTCTGATATGATTTAATTCAAATAACTTTTCTCTGTTATTAATAAAGAAATAGGAAATGTAATATTAATACAACGATATTGATTAAATGTGAACTAGATGAAAAGATTAATCAAATAGATCGCAATTTGATTGTTATAATATAAAATACATGTTCATTATTTCTTGTATGTACAATGTAGAGGAAGTTTAATTCAATTGTATCATTGCGGATAGTTTTCATTTCATCACAGGTTTTTATAATACAATTAAGCCTAAATCCCTTTATCAATTGGATGTTTTTCCCTGATCTATGTACACTACTAACTACACATAACTAGTCTTACTAATTACCGCTTTTTTAAATTAATAAATTAATAATCTTTTTTCTCATTTCCTTCTTATTTTTTCTTTTAGATGTATTGCCTTACTATTCGCAGTACACGAGAAATTGTCTCATCTCATTTAGCCAAACTCATTGAACAATTGATCTAAGTTGAATATTTTTGTCATCATTGTTACTATTGTTGTTTATATTCAATTAATACTCTGATCAATTTTAATGCGTCTATGATGGACCAATCCAATGGAACATTCTTTATAATTTATATTGCAATGTGGTTTCATCTTGGCAAAAAAATAGATTTATAACATTAATAATGTTGATGACAATAAGCAATGAGAATTCTTTATCATTCCCATTATATATATATATATATATATATATATATATATATATATATATATATATATATATCGTTGTTATTAATGTCGTTGCCGATGTTGTTTTCTCTTTTGATAAAACTTTTAAAAGCATAAGGCAAATATGCTTTGTACTTTGTCCTTAGAATAAAAAATCTCTCGCTAGTTTTACATACACATGTGTATGTGCATTCTTGATTGAATTGTATCTAATTTACTCATTTCTGTTTTATGCTAGGTTTTCTTTCATCTTTCTCTCTATGTCTATCCCTCTTCTGTACTGTTTGATTATTTATACCTACTTGTCTACTTAATACTTGTAGAATATTATTTGTTAGTTAGTTTTCAATCTGTTTATGATTATTTTAGTCATTACTTGTTTATTATTTCTTGGTATTCTATGGTAATAGTAATAATAACAATGTTCTGTTTTGCGTGTTCGCCATATTATGACATTTAGTCATCATAATCATCATCGTTATCATCTAATTTCAATGAGGATTATTTTTTGTTACCATCTACTGATCATTTATATTCATTCAGTCACTGATACACGTGTTAATTGGCTTCACCAAATTCATTAATCAATCACTCCACATTCATTGTGATTTATTTTGCATTTCTATAAATACAAAGTTAGACAATTAATTTTTTTTTAAAACAAAAATTATAATTATTTCCAATTGTTTGCTCTATTATAATTGTCATCGTTTCACTACACTGATGATGATGATAATGATTATTATTATTATTACTATTATTATTATTATTATGGAAATTATCAAACAATGTGATTCTTTTTTCTCTCTCCTTATTTATCTTTGTTACTGTTGCTTTTATGTTAGGATCCGAAAGTGTTAAAGCATATTATTTATTGTTCGTGATTTATATATATATATATATATATATATATATATATATATATATATATATCAAGTTTCACTTAGAATTACGGTTTTCGTTTTGGAATCATTGAAACTGTTGTCAATGCTGTGTATGGAAAAATGAGTGGATGGATGTGTATAATGTATGTTTGTTCGTCCAATTGTTGATTATTAGTTCATTTTCATGGCTTTTGTTTTTACTCAATAAAAAATATTCACTGTGTAGTTGGGATTAACTTGGTTGTTATATCACTGATTGATCATAATATATATTCTTAGTATGTTTGTTTCAGTTACTGACATTGAAACGTCAACAAGCGTAATCATCCAGATGATATTGTCGAAACTACCGGAAATCAGTATTAGAAAACAAGTATTGGTTTAATGTGTTTAGAAGATAAGAAGTAGATATGTTTATATTTTTTCATGGCTCATGATTCAATGAATCATTCTATGCTTTATTCCAAATTTGTTTCCGTACATGTCAGACCACCATCAATTTATTATAATCAACGTAGAAAATCTGCATTAGTTTAAGTTTTCATACTGAAGCACGACTAAATGAAAATCAGTAGGAAGGGAATAATGGTGGTAGCAGTGGTGATAAAAAACTAATCATTGAAAATATGTTTCCTAAAGATTGACGGAATACTGGAAGTCAAGTTCTAGAATAAGATAGGTGCGCTTATTCTGTTGTAATCGATTCTGAGCCATGCCACCTGACGTATTCAACCGCTGATTGCGGTTATCCCGGCGACCCTAACTAAGCATTTTGAAACTACTCAAGTCTGTAATTTTATGAATTGACCACACTACTATATAGTTGGTAAGGAAATTTTCATACCATTTCAGTTATATAGATATTCACATCGTCGTAGGTTGAATTAGTGTCTCGAATTATTTGCGTAACTGTTGTCAGTTGTTATTGCGTTTAAAAAGGTATTACAGTTTTCACAGCTTCATGGTAAGTCACTGGTAGTTGTTATGGTTTTTTAAGAACCGAATTCAGTATATTTAACTGTCAGAAAGTTTGTGACATAAGCTTGCACTATATTGCTTCTACAAATTAAAACTCATGAAATTACACACAAATTAAACACTCAATGCTTAATTAGGAATTTATATTTTAATCTTTTTTAAAACAAGACAATCGAATATTGAGATTGAAAATTGTCTTCCATTGACCTATACTTTTGTTTTAGAGACAAGTTAATAATTGGCATTCAATTCCTGTAGATCCACAGGATTTCAATTTGTTTTCGACTTTAAATAGTGGTCAAGCTTTCCGGTGGGTATCGCTTTTTTAGGGACTTAAGTGCATTGTATTTTTTCCAGGGAACCAATGGTATTGATATTATTTGTATTACAGCGAAATAGGAAAGTGGAAAATTTTGTTAAATGGGATCTTATTCTAAAATGCTTAGAAAACTTTTTCGTAAGATTTTGGTAAAATACTTCACTTGAATTTTTGTGATGTACTTGTCTGTTATCGATATTGTTAGTGTTAATATAATTGTCTAGATAAATTAGCTGATATTGAAAACAGCATTCAATCGTCTAACTTATAATTTACTGCTATTATACTTTCAAAAATACCATATTCCACTTAATCGTCAGAATACCTTTTGTGATCTATCTATGTCTATGTAGTTTAGTTCTGAGTTGTATTGTTACAAACACATTACAGAAATTATTATCTCATAATCTTTTAATATACAGTATTGCACAAATTAACATTTTCTCACAGAGCATATAGGAACGGTATGTTGTTATCCTATTGTTTATCAGAGTTTCCACTGAAGGATACAAATATTCGGTAGAGATTGAGATTTTCACCGTATTCATGTAAAAAATAATGATTTGTTTAGATATTACTGGTTAATAAAGGGTACAATGTGTTTTCTGTAGTACAGTTTCGCTCTGAGACAGAGTTTTTTTAATTAGAGGTTACTAGTTCATATTTTCGCTAGATTTACAAATTGTCGAGTTTCGAAAAGCAGTATACAAATGATCGTAAAATAAAATCTGGTCTACCACCGTATTATTAAAAGTTTTTCTCGATAGAAAAACTTCTTATCCCGTTAAAAATTGAATTTTAATCTCCACTCATTTTATAAAAAACTTATGACTCAAAAATACGGCTGTTACTGTACTCAACGCGTTGTGAATACGTCGTAACTCGGTGATTGTTATGTTCATTTCTAAATGCAAAAAACTCGCAAGACGTTTATGTTAATACTAGTAAGTGGAAGCCTCGTGTTCATTATCATGCTTTTCTGATATTCGCTGCACCTAATTTTTCATAATAAATGGTTTTGTAGCTACTTTTAAGAAGAATATTTTTAGTAGATTATTTCTCAAAATAATGCCTGATATAATTCTTATATATGTAACTGATTGTCTTTTCTTGCGAGTTCTTTCCACTTTATTCCGGTTTTGCCTTCTTTGCAATCTCTATAATAACTGGAAACTCATTGCTTTTTAGTCATCCTTCACGTCTAAACGTGACCCGTCTCCCTTAGTTTCGGACAAAAATCCTCTTGATGTATCACAACAAAAAAATGTACGGTTTTACTTACACATGATTGTTGTAGTGTGTGGAATTTATAATCTGTGTTTAAATTAAGTCTGAAACTATATCGTTTCAAAAGATCGACAAGTGAATAAATTAAGGTATTAGCATACCTAACTGAATTTACCAAACTTGTTGATTCAGTTGTGAAGCAAATAAGCATATCAACTGATGCCACGTGATACATAGGTTGTGGAGTACGATATATATTCCAGAATTGTCGGAAGAAAATCTCCATCTTTTGTAGTCTTCATAAATAAGTTGGGTAAGACTATAATTTATGGACGATTCAGTCAGATAGGAAATAATAGGTCGTGGACTTTGGTGCGAGATTTATTCATCAGTTTGGCTAAATGTCGTTTGAGCGTTTTAGCTAATGTTAGTTCGTGATGAAAACCCCAAATCTAGTTCCTAACCCTGACTATCAATTGTAAATGTCACTGCATTTTTTAACCCTCATTTAATCCGAGTTGGTAGGTGGATATTCTCAAAGTCATTTTAGCGTCGCCTAAAGGTCGTCTATAAATTATATTCTCATCATAAGTTGTAAAAATTTAGGGTTTTCATAACGAACTGACATCAGCTATAATGCCAAAACTCTATTTAGCCAAATGGCTGAGTGAATTTTGCGCCAAAATTCGAGACCAGCTATCTTTTACTTGATTGGGTTGTCCATAAATTATCGTCTCGCCTAGTTTATTACTATGACTTAGATGGCAGTAAACCGAATTTCGACTTCACTCATTTTTCTCAAGAATTAATATTTAGTAGTATATCTAGACAATTGGGATTTGGGTTGATTATTTTATACTGCTTATTATTCGTAGGTTAACTTTCTGATGATCATGACTTTTTAGATAGTGAATGTTAACTGAGCTAAATAATAATTATAGTCATAAATCCACCAAAATATACTAGGTGCAGTTTCATTCTCCACGTTCGTTACTTGTTCTGCAAATCATTAAACAAACTAAAGTAATGTTTGTTTTCCATGAAGTAAACTTACTGTTCAGTTTTATACATTTGTTTCTCCATATTATAGCTGGATTTTTAATTCAACTCTGAATGAATGGCATGGAGTAATAAATGGTCACTTATGGAGATTACGTCAAATGGAGGATTCTAACCCAGTTGAATATTATTTTGAGAAAAATTTGGGTATAAAATTAAACGATGTTCCTTTTGATTTACGTGATTACTTTAGATTGGATATGAATTTATCTGATCTTGTGAAGGAATGGTCTTTGAAGGATGAATGGTTTGAGAATCGTTTCTCTAAAAATTGTCAAATGGATACAGCTCGTGGTTTACGCTTATTAAGACAAGATCCAGAAGAAACACTATTCTCTTTCATTACATCAGCTAATAATAATTTAACAAGAATTACTAAATTACTCTGTAAATTGTGTAGTGAATATGGTAATCCATTGTACTTGGGAAATGGTGATCTAAGGCATTGGACATTTCCATCACTTGAAATACTTGCACAACCTGGAATGCAGGATAATTTGAAAAAAATTGGTTTTGGTTATCGTTCCAAGTTTATTACGTGGGTGTTCATTATTTACAATTATTTTTGTGCTTATTTTGTGTGGCGCATATATATTGGCGCTCTCTTGTACCAATATTTATGTGTTCAAATAATAATAATAATTTGTGCTCACTGGAACCTTTGTATACAATCCTTTATATTATGTTTTATCATTAGTATATCGATACACTTTCTGATTGTCTTATAACAAAATATTCACTAAGTAAGCCTTTAGAATCTCGTATCATCGATGTGAGATGCGTCTGGGAAACATGCAAACCGGATCCTAGCTTGGTCATCCGCTTAACTTCATCCAATTTATATAATGAACTCGCCTGATCTATTGTTCTTGTATCTGTATATCCGTCAGTAACTTCTTGTGATCATGATAGGGATAGGCATAGTACTAAGTTTCAAAACGGAATAGACGCTTCTTAAATGTTTCTTGTTGACAGATGTTGCCAGCTGCTAGACTGTGATATAAGTAGGACTCAGAAAGATAGGGATAAACACCACTAGCTTTTCTGCCTACGCCCTTTCTAACTGTAGCATGGAGGAAGTAAATGGTACATTCTATCGAAACTTTCTACCTAGGTATCAGAAGTAAGACCCTCAAGTGTAGAAATCGCTGCTGGTGATTTTAATATTTAACCAGTTGGTGTAATGGTCACGACCAAAACTATGCAGCTCAGAGAACAAAACTCCATCAAAATATTATCAGCGTTAAAATATAGACTTTTGTATACGAAGGGACATGGATTTCGGCTTCTGTCGTGCCGTTATAAAGGCTGATGAGAGGTTTATTAATGTAGTCATCCTATAGTGTTTAGTTGATGCCCGTTAGTGACAATCGTAACAGTTGATACACTTTTCATAAATTTCTGATTTGTATTCATGAGGAAAAATACTTTGTTGTTTGAAGTATCTATCTGAAATGGATTGAAGAATTATTCTATAAATATCCGAAATACATTTGTTCATAAATTACGAGCCTTTTCCTGAATATCCTCATGTTTGAATTATTTCAGGCTTGCTGCTAACTGGCTTTTGAAAAATGGAGGTCGATCTCGTCTACTTGAACTTCGTTCCATGTCCCATTTTGAAGCTCAGGCATTTCTGCTTCAAATACCTGGAATCGGGAAGAAGGTCACCAAATTTTATTTTGTTCTTCCTTATATTTCAAATACTTTCAATGATATTATTAACACTGATCTGTTTTCCTGACTGAAGTGTATACGATGAAGTGCAAATTATCTGACTTCATGGTTAAAACAATCAAATGTTCCAACTACTGATTTACTGCAACATCCTCTAATCAGCATTTAAAAATGGCTATTTTAAACCACTTCAAACACTGAATTCTATAGATATTTCATTTTCATCTCTTTCTATACTAACCATTGTCCATAGATTTCAATTTATCGTTTATTTGTAAGTTAATTTTATTACGAACTAGCGCATTAGTGGAAGAACCATTTAAAGTATGCGAGTACTAGATGGCTTTGTGATTGTAGTTTAAAATTATTTAGCATGTACAAACTAGTGATCCGGGGTTAAACGTAACCTTCAAATTTCACTGCAAGAAGGATATCTTTTGACTATTGAGTTATAATTCAATGGTACATATATTCAATTTGTTATATATTGAACGTACATTCAGGTAAATATGTCGTGATATTTTTAAGAAGCTATGTTTTGACACATTTAATGGATACTGGTCACTGAATCGATGCGAAGTTAGCTTTCAAAGTTATGTGTAGAATTCTATCAAGCGTAGACTACACTTCCAGATCTCGTTTTTCGTGTAAAGCGGAAACCATGGGTTTGCACATAGATAAATCTACTCTTTGTGTGGGAAAAAATGTTTTCCATAATCTTAATTTATCTAACTCTTTCACTCGATTCCAAGATCATGTTTGCTGTTCTTAATTTTGTTCACTCTTATTTGTTAACTTTATTCTAATATTATTTCCTTTGATAATCTGGTCTTTTAAATTTCTCTTCATCCTTCCCAATAATTACCTATTAATATTATCACAAATAATAATAAACATGTACATTTAAATGAGTAATGTCCAACTTACTCTTATATTCCTTGATTCCTATTTTTATTCCTACATAGTTGGATGTAGTTTTCAACCAGTTATGTAATTTTGTCTTGAGTTTACACTGTAGAGTTAATAAGCGATTACTGAAATATATATGGTTACAATGCATTCGGTATTCATTTTATACCTGTATATTAATATTAAGTCATGATTTAGAGTTCATTGAAACGAAGTGTTTTATCTCTAAAATTGAATTTTTCATATTCTTGACGTTTGTATTGAAATATTTAGATTAACCAACTTCAGTCAAAATACTATGTAGGTGAAATCATCATGTATTGTTATCGATGATAATATCAGTCTCACTTCCGGCATGGATGAACGCTACGTGTCAGTGACTTTCACTAGACCTTTGAGTCCTTTAAATATTAAAATTCATATTTTTGTCCAACATGAAGTCAACTTTCATTACAGAGAAAAAAATATCTATTTAGTGCTCTTTGATTTTTATTGATAAATAACAGGTTATGTCAACTTGTGATGAGAAACTATCTGAAAACTGAGAAATATTCCGAAACATCTAATTTAATTTCTGACAATCAGTGTTTTCTCCGTTAGTTCGCCATCTGATAGCGCATGCCTAATTGAAAATTTCCTCCAAATTTCCTTAACTTGACCACAATTTGACATATGTTGTTTTTAGATGGTCTCTTTTCTACATAATAGTTTTGCGTTGTGTCTGTTTTAGTATTTCCGAAAGCTGTCCTGATTTATTGTACCAATATCTGGTTAACGTTGTTTGGAAGAGCAATCAGTCTTTAAATTTGTCATATGTATACTGTAAAGAAGACATTGAAACACATCATTAATACACTTTTGTTATTTATTTTAATTTTCATTGTTATTTATTCATTAATTTTCCTTAAGGTAAACTTTATTCTCCTTTTCTGTTATTGTTGTATTTTCACAGGTTGCAGATTGTATATGTCTTATGTCGTTAGATAAATTAAATGTTGTCCCTATCGATGTTCATATGCATCGTGTTGCACGTGAGAAAGGAATTCCTGAAGCATCCTGTAAAAATATGACTACAAAATCATATGATATTATCTCAAAGTCTCTTAGTGATTTTTGGGGAAATTATTCTGGATGGGCACAAACGGTAAGTATTCATCTACTTCACACAATATTATATAATCTATTCATGTAATTCTCACTTAACAGATTTATATCGGCTGAAGAAAATTAATCACTAAGTAGAGACTACATTTTAAAAGATTACAATAAAGTTATCAAGTCTGATCTGTTGAACTAGGACTACACTACCCATAACAGAACAACATTTTACTGGAATCAGTTTATCCATATATATGAAGTGTACTGAGTTTTGATGAAGCTAAAACTATTAAACAAAAGACCGCTCTATTTTTGATTTCTTTTGATAACTATCTATGATATGATTCATTTCAAGATTATGTTGTTCAAGTTCATTAATTTATATAATTGTGCTCCTTTGCTGATATCAAAGAGACAAGACTACACATGAATTTCACTCTTTACATGTCATTGGACAGTCTTATTATGTATTTCTTAAGAGATTAGGACAAAATCATGTCATGTTTAATGATGTTGTTGAGTTAATCATCTTGAAATGTTGATAAATTAATTTCACTAAATGTCTCTTTGACCATCGCTGGCTTCACTAAATTGTTAAAAGTCAAATAAGTTAATTAGGCACTATTAACAGACAGTGATTTTTCATTACGTTATATTATCCAACAAATGAAGCGATCACTATCAAGTTTATTATTGAGAGAATGTTTCAGTGATTTATTATACGGAAGATACAGATGTAATGCGGAAATAAAGTGTTTCAAAGCAAATCCCGACTGATCGTGCTTTATCGTAACTTTGAGTTCCCGCCCGTGGGATTTAAACCCGAGACATTTTGTCTCACCCGCGAACACTTAACCTCTAGACCACTCAGCCGGTGTGCCTAACTTCAACCAGTCCACTATATTGCGTCCCATACTAGGACGAAACGGCCATCCATTGCTTTCAGGTTTTCAGTAGCTGTTTAACACTGATCGATTCATGATCTTAACTAGAACTCAACAATCTCCACAACCCTATGCTGATAATACGCTAGACTTTTATTCCTGTTTGATAAAATCCCTTAAATACGTCATAACTGGTTATTAATTATTTGTAATTATTTAGATCCCATCGTTTTTGTTTTTAAGATTTGCATTGTAATCAGTCACGTTTGACATATATTCATTCCGAGCCGATTGTCTCGGTACTGTTGTTAAGTCAAAAGTATTTAAGTAAAGATGGATAATGATTTACAATGGAACCCAGGGCGTGCATTTCGTTCTAATTTGAACTTGTAAACTATATTTAATTGCATTCCAGTGTTTATTTCACTGGTAGTCTCTATCCAACTTTACTTAAATCAATTTACGTAATCAGTTGAACTATAACTTATGTAAAATTAGAACGAATATTGCTAGATGAAGTTATTTCATTTCATCCCAAATTATTTGTTTTTGTCGCTTTATAAAAGTTTATCAAGGGTGCTAATTGTATAAACTATGATTCCATGTATTTCTCATTTACTCCTGATAGTACAACCAATCTAATGGTCAATCAATAAAATTATTGTGAAACATTATAAATTAACTAATTATTGTATTATTTGTTGTACTCATATTTTCTCTAATTTAATATTTCAGATTCTTTTCTATACTCGTATGATGGAATCGAAACCTAATAAGTAAGCTGTTTGTTTAACATGATTTAATTTATTTACTTTCGTAGTGCTATAGTTTGGTTAGGATCTGGGATTAAAAAGCAAAATTACAGTCCTTTACTCATTCTGATTTTTTTTGTCCAAGAAACGATATTCATGTATTACATTAACATGAACTATGCTCAGTACAATACTCAGCATATGTTTTGTTATAACTTCAAGTATTTTTCGTATATACGATTTCTACCTAATTATTAGTCAAAATGGGTATACAATCAATATATAAATGAGTGTATTTTCGATTAAAGTCACCTTCGTGTTCTGGGATTGATAAATCTTCACTTTTATCAGTATTTGTGTTTTTACTTTCGCGTCGTGGGAATAGCGGTAGTTCCTTGTTTTACAAGTAAAGTAATAAGTGATTCCGACATAACAATTAGCGACGACCAGATATAACAATCAGTGACGCAGTCATAACCGTCCATCATATGTCATGACGGTATCTAAGTTAAAAATTCCGAAATAATTATCACTTAAATAAAAATAACTTATTATTCGATTTATTGACATAAATAATTTTTCAGTAGTTTTGAAACTTGAGAAGAAACATTTAAATGGTTAGTTTATTATGAAATCTTTGTGAATCCTCTTTCATTGTTCAGACAATTGTCGGTACTCAGAAAAATATCGGCTCATATAAATTGATTGACAAAGATCTTTTTGCCAATTTGTGGTGGTTGGATCCTTATGTGATTCTAACTTATTCAAAATTTTCGTAATGTAATTTAGAACAGCATATATGACTGTATAAAATTATGTTCAGTTAGACCTTCATCAGACTTTAATATTTAATAACATATACATATATTAAAAAATATTAAATCAGTCAATGATCACATTGAAAGAGATTGTATAACTGTACGTAACGGGTAAAACTTACAAACTGATAATACGATGACAGGTATACTAGTAGTGATAAAAATGATAACAACTTGAATCATTGCTTCAATATAGAAAATAATTCAAAACATTAGAACATGGACTTAAGAATAACAATCGTTAAAAATGATTATGATACTGGAAAATATGTAGTAAAGGCGGTGAATAAAAATCAAGGATGTAAAGAATAAGTAAAATCATTTTTTTTAATTTCATACTTGACTATGAAAGAAGCAGGGGCTTTTAAGTTTCTTAAGAACATATAAACTAGGGTTGAAGGTTTAATCCTCTATAGCTCCTACTATTTATAGAAGATGAAGTCATTTGCCGTTGTAAAACAACGAAGCTATACTTTAGGCCGTATATTAAAATGAAGCTTTAATTGAAAACCGTTGTCCGCTTATACGTGTTGTTCAAATTTATTGCATTTTTTCATTAATTATGTACACTAGATATATCTTTCTGAATACATCAAATTAATCTACATGGAATTCCCATTTAAGCCATTGTTTCATGCTTTTGACACCTGCATAGACAGTTATCAATTCTGCATATACTATGCGTGATCCTATATTCTATATTGTACCAAAATCTAATACTGAATAAAGCCATTAATAATAATAATGATAATACAAGTGTTAACCGCCATAGCTGTTCACTATACTGTATCGGTATTCCAGAAAATTCTCGTAAACACAAATAAATAAACCAGATTAACTAAATTTTTTTATAAAACAATGAGTTTTCATATTCTTATATCCATGTCACTTATTAATTATACTTGGGAAAGCAATAAATTACTTCAATCCCGACGACGCGAAGTATGAAGAGCAAGACTGGTACAAATGAACATTTATTAACCCCAAAAACACGACGACGACCCCATTCAGTAATACACTCACAATATATATTGATTGTACACCCATTCCGATTAATAATTACGGTAAAATCACACCTATAAAATACACCGAGAGTTATAATTAAATCACATGCTTCATGTTATACTAAGCATAGTCCATGTTAATGTAATACAAGAATATTGTACCTTGAATAAACGCATCAAACTCAATTAAATTAATGTTATAAAGAATAAAATATCCCACTGGGAAACAAAACAAACACTACACTAAATAATCATTACATTGAATTAACGGAAGTAATGTAGAACAAAAGCCACAATGAGAAAGAGGATGTAATTTTGCCTACTTATTCCGTCATATCACCTTCCTTTCTTTTTGAGTGGATACATATGAGTAAGTTTTCCGTAGGGGGTCCATCCATGGATTGTTGTTTTTCTTCTTACTTACTGGGATCTCAACTAGTCGCGTGGTCGTGTTCCTGGTCCCTGATAGGTTTTTATTTTGCAAGCCTGATATTCCATTAGTATATCTTTGGCAAGTTTTCCAAATCTTAAGTAGCTACGATGTTTTTACAATCTCGTCTTTTTATATGATTACTGTATCTCGTCCATATTATTTCTTCCGCTTTCACTTCATAAATAAATGTTTCACTTACCTATCGTGATCTGGAATTGCGGAAATCCCGCACCCAATGTGCTTCACCTGAATGAAAATTTATGGTTTTGACACAGCGTTGTTCACTGAACTGCGGTTTCCTTATTTCCATTTCTTTCGATCTTAGTATTAGATCTTGTGGCACAATTTGTACTTTTCTCCTAAATATATTTTCTATTGGCGATAATTCGTTCAATATCACTGGACTCAGTGTTGGTTGGCGATTTAGCAAGAACATTTCTTTGACTTCGCTTTCTCTCCTTCTTTGTAATAATCCTTTTTAATCAATCAATAAGACGCTCTGTCTTATTCCATAGCAAAGGTCGATCCTAAAAATGCACACCTCACCTTATCCCACGTATTTCCGTATCTGGCAGTAATGTTCCAGCAACTACGGAGCCAACGCGAATTCCATAGATTCCAGGAAAAACTGACATCTCACTTAGGCAATTCTGTAAACGGGGTTGACCCAGATGTTGCTTGGAAAGTTATACAAACTGCTGTGCAAACAGCAGCGACATCTACTTGTGATTTGAACCAAAGGGTCACGAAAAAACAGTGGATTTCTACTAAGTTTATTGCACTGATAGATTCTTGTAGACCCAGCCCACCAGGCTCTGAACACGATGAAGAGCGTAAACAAATCAGAACTAGGTTAACCAAAAGTTTAAGGAACGACCACGAGCAGTGGTGGGCAACGAAAGCGAAAGAGATGGTAAAGGCAACGGCAGTAGGTAGCACAAGACATCTTTTCAGACTAATATAATAAACTGAAATTAACAAGTCGAGTGTGAGACAATCGCAGGAAAAGACGACGCACTTATCTGCTGTCGGCTTAGACGTTTAGAGCGGTGGGTGGAACATTTTAAGGAGCAGTTCAGTTGACCTTCAGCCACTCTACAACTACCCATCATTCCCAGACAGCCTGAATGGAACATTGAAGTAGGTCCCTCAACTCTAGCAGAAGTTCAAAAGGCTATAGTTAATCTGAAACGAGGAAGGGCAGCTGGTCCATATGGATTGGCTCCAGAGGTCTTTAAGGATGGTGGTCCAATTTTAGCGATTAGGTTGACTAATATTTTAGCTAAAATCTGGGAGTTGGGTGTGATCTCATCTGTCTGGTCACAATCACTTATTGTCCCAATATATAAGAGAGGGTCAAAATCATCCTGTGACAACCACAGAGGGATTAGTTTAACTAATATAATATCTAAAATACTAGCTTCCATAATTATCAGACGCCTAACTAAGACTCGTGAACTGCAAACACGAGAGACTCAAGCTGGCTTCAGACCTGGTCGTGGCTGCATCGACCACATATTCACCATTTGTCAGGTTTTAGAACATAGGCATACTTATCGGCGTCCGAAAATGGTGGTCTTCCTTGACTTAAAAGCAGTATTTTACTCTATAGACCGAGAGGTTCTGTGGTAGTGTCTGTCATTGAAAGGTGTACCTCAGAAATACATAAACCTTGTGGAGGCTCGTTACTTAAACACTACCAATGGAGTCAGGGCTTATATCGAACTGTCATCTGATTTTGCAACCTCAAGTGGTGTCCGTCAAGGCTATCCACTTTCTCCATTTTTGTTTAACTTCATCATAGACCTACTGATGGAAATAACATTCTCGTCGACTGAATTCTCGGGCATTATTCTCCTTCCAGGAGGTACACTTATCGACTTAGAATACGCAGATGACATGGTCCTGTTTGGTGAAGACGCTGACAAAATGCAAAGTCTTTTGGTAGCACTAAGCAATAATGCCAGAATGTTTGGAATGCGTTTCTCTCCCTCTAGATGCAAGTTGTTGCTTCAGGACTGGCCTGCGTCAACACCTGAACTAAGGATAGGGAGTGAAGTGATCGAACGCGTTGACAACTTTACTTATCTTGGAAGTTCGGTCAGTTCCTCCTGAATAGCTCTAGTAATAATGATATCATCCCAGTAGGCAGAAACTCCTGGTATTGCACCTGTCGTAATATCAATAATTTGGAATATCAATACCTTCACACTGAAGGGTGATTGTTGGTACTGATACTGATGCATATGGAACTGGTCTTTTAAGTTTGAAGACAGGTTAAATGTTCAATTGCAGACATAAAACTGCTTTCTTCACCGTTCAACACTCCCACTTCACTGAATATTGAACTATATTTCGACTTAATACGTTTAATAAGAGAGTTTATTTCGCTACTAGTGAATTTCTGAGTTGAGAATGAAACCCGTGAACAAATGAAATTTAGTAGCATATTCCATAATGAGAGATGCTATATCCAATCAATCCCAAGAAAATCGAAGTCATGACGATTTGTGGGACAACATTTACCTCAGGAACTTTTAGACCTGAATAAGACATCATATTCAATTCCACCGGCCGGTTTTATTAGATCACTGAACGCATTTCTGTCTCCGTGTGACATGTGAGGACCCTAGTGTACGCAAAGCAACACGAAAAATCAGGAATATCTGACTGCGTGTCAATCTTAAGTCTGATAGTTATTCTATTTATCCAGATTTCAATATATTTCCTTTTTGCAGACAGTTGTACACTCAAAATATCAAAAACAATATTAACATCCTTACGTGAGACTGATTTGGATCTCTTTTCACCGGAAAGTGAATCACTATAACTCCGATATATCAAGATCTCTCCAGGTTGTAGGTTTCTGTTTCCCCCATTGTTAATATTACACTACCTTACACTAATCTGTTCGTTGTTCTCTTTTTAACGCTCCTTATGTTATATCTTGAAAAAGCTGATTTTTCGATTTACCGCGAATAACTAGAACACCAAAACCCTTCCAAGTCGCAATAAGACAGAAGACTAACGAAAGGAATATTATTCCAAACAGTGTCAATCATAGTACAAAATTGTCAGGTATTTATAGTTTTTAGTGAGAACGAAATCATCATTACAGTCTTCCAATCCGCGTACAGGGGGTTATTAGCATTATCCAATCGGGAAGCTACACGTTGGAATTCTAGAACATTCTTCCGAAAGGTGATTGGATGGAACCTCTTCGGCTCTTTCTGAGCCTCTTACAGCTTCCTCGAGTTCACCGGTGGTCCGTCGTCACACCTTACCTTTCATTTTTTTCCTTCTTCTCTTCAAATTTTCATCGTTTTCTGTGGCGCATATGTATTTGGTGCCCTCTTGTACCAATATTTATGTGTTCAAATAAATAAGTATACGTATTATTGTCAAAAAATTGACGTTTATGCATCTAGTTACCATGCGTCGGTTTCTAGTTGTCTCATTAATTTTAGAGTAGAGCTGTATGTTTCAGTAACTTTGTGAATTAATTATATTTCCTGGTCAACTTTAGTTTTATTTCAGCCGAATAGTGAACTGTAGCTAGTATTGTTTGAATATGCTCTAAACCTTTTTCGTGCGCAGTCAGGTGATATAAATCCAAAACTTCATCAACTGATAACATTGTTTTTGCCTTGTTATCTTTATAAAATATAAGGATATCCTTCTACTTGACTCATCATAGATATTCGACACTTTGAAGATATCCTTAATCAAGTAGAAGTAACTGTTCCTATATCGCTTTCAATAGCCTCGTTTCACATATATGCTCGTTTTCAAAAGGAAATAGCGGATTTATTTGCCATCCTTGTATTACTCGTGTAACGTGAAATTAGATTCCTTTTTACATCCCTATAAAATTAGAAGAAATATTCCTTACCCTTGCTTTACATGTTCATGAAGAAAAAAAGGATAATTCAAAGTTCACGGTGACTAAAAACAGACTACTAGTCATTTATGAAAATATTTTAATGTGGTTTATTATGATATTGAAAATATAGTATGAGAATGTGTGATGCGAACTCGCATTCCCACTTATTCCTGCAGTAGACACTAACAGCTGGATGCAGATAGCGAAAGATGTATAAATTTGCTTCACGCCATTGATAGTACTTATTTTGGTTTTCGTTAATTTTATTGATTGTTTCCAAAAAATGATTTGGTTTTTCGATTATTACATCTTACATATATCACTGTTTTTTATATACTCTATTCACGAGGCAAACTCCACCTGTAGCACTTCTAAGGCTACTACCGGTCCCAAGCCCGAGTAAAGGAGGAGGGTTAGGTGTGGGGTCGGCAAACTCATCCCGTAGAAAAAAATCTTGCTAAAAAAGCTAATCAGATTAAACAAATTAAACCACTTAAACTTTTCCCTGAGAGTTAAAGGAAGAATTATGAAGTCTCATAATGAAAGCCTAGATTCTTCGGAGGTCACGATGCCGATGGTTCTTTCAACAACCAAAGCAACAATTTTTATAGGTACATGGAACGTCCGAACAATGCAAATCAAGAGTGGAAGAGCAGCAGGACCTGACAATATACCAACTGAAACACTAAAGTCAGACATGGAAGTAACTGCAAGCATGCTTCACACCCTATTCAGGAAGAGTTTGGAGGGAGAAAAAGTGCCGACAGACTGGAAAAAAGGACGCCTCATTACGATATCAAAGAAAGGTTATCTGAGTAAATGTGAGAACTATAAAGGAATCACGCTACTATAGGTACCAGGAAACAATTTCAACAGAGTGTTGCTGAACCGGATGAAAGATACATTAGACGTCCAACTCGGAGATCAACAGGCTGGATTCCGTAAGGGTCGGTCGTTCACAGACCAAATCGCCACACTACGGATCATCGTTGAACAATCAATTGAGTAAAATTCGTCATCATACATCAACTTCCCTGATTATCGGAAAGCATTTGACAACGTGGATAAGAGATGACTATGGAAACTTCTTCCGCACTATGGTGTACCTGAGAACATCGTCAATGTCATGCGGAATTCATACGACGGACTACACTCCAAAGTCGTGCATGAAGGTCAGCTGACAGACGCATTTCAAGTAAAGACCGGAGTCAGACAAAGCTGCCTATTCTCCCTCATACTCTTTCGTTCAGTGATCAACTGCATTTTGAAGACCTCTACATCTGAGAGAAAACACGTATTACAATGAACAGCTCGGAATCAATTAGATTTGGACCTGGTCCCTCAGCCCCATACACACGAGCAAATGCAGATGAAGACAAACAGTGTACAAGGAACCTCTGCATCAGTAGGCCTCAACGTACACAAAGGGAAATGCACGATCCACAAATACAACAATAAGAACACAAACCCAATCACACTCGACGGAGAAGCTCAGGAATATGTGGAATCCTTCACGCATCATCGATGAACAAGGAAGATCCAATACAGACGTAAAGGTGACGATTGGAAAGGCAAGGACCGCATTCGTACAGTTCAATAACAAATGGAACTCAAAACAACTGTCAACCAACATCAAAGTGAGAATCTTCAATACGAACGTCAAAACAGTTCTACTGTATAGAGCTGAAACTTGGAGAACTACAACCATCATAAAAAAGATACAAGTACTTATAAACAGTTGTTTACGCAAGATACTCAATGTCCGTTGACCGGATACTATGAGCAACATGCTACTGTGAGAGAAGACAAAGCAGCTTCCATCTGGAGAGGAAATTAGGAAAAGACGTTGGAAGTGGATAGAACACACTTTGAGGAAATCACTAAACTGCGTTACGAAGCAATGGCTAACTTGGAATGCTGAAGGTAAACGGAAAAGAGGAAGACCAAAGAACACATCGCGCCGACAATTAGAAGCAGGCGTGAAAAGAATGAATAGCGACTGGAAAGGATTGCTCAGGGCAGAGTTGAATGGAGAGTGCTGGTGAGTGGCCTATACTCCTCCACGAGGGGTAACAGGCGTAAGTAAGTAAGCACTTATTGATCAAACCAAGTTTTGTCAAATAATCTTATATACTGTTTTGTCTAGTTTTTATGTATGGAATTTGTTTGTTCCATTTTAGAAAACTAAAGCAACAAATCAGTCGTGTTGATATCAACATTTAGATTGTTAAACACAGGAGAGTGAAATTAAATGAATTTTGATTTATTGTTCACCACCTCAGTTACTACTGAACATTTAAATTTGAATATTATTTAAACTAATTTGTCTTGGAAACTTTATTTATAGATACTGGATTCTAACAAATAAAATTATACCTTGAAGTGAATAATAATTTTTAAATTCATTATTGTTTGCGTGACACACAAACTTCAAATAGTTTACTAATCATTTTTTCATCTTCCTTTGTGTAGTTTATATATAATTTACATTTTAATTCATTTCTGGTAGTTAACCTAGATTTTGAGCGGTTTATTCATGGTGAATTAGGTTGGTTCTGGATAGTGATATAACTTTATTGCGAAGATAATAGTAATGTTAACGATCTTTTCAATTTCGTTACTTGCTTATTTCTACTTGTCCCACCGATTTTCTAGTCTTACTGTCGATGGATATTGGTTCGTGCATACGTTATGCCTTGGGCTTTCATTTCATCTGTTCACTTATTTGGTGGGGAGGGGATCATGCCAGTCTATACAATGTTTAGAAGTGTGAAGAATTCAAAGTGCCATTGTGCTATCACGTTTTCCTAAGTATTTGCGTTGTCTGACGGCTGTAATGTAATCTTGAGGCAGAACAGCCCTCTGCCAGTACATCACATTTTAACGCTTTCTAGAGTTAACCCATCCTGATTTTTGTGGAGTAGAGTCTTCTTACCTGGAGATTTGTTTACATTCAACGAATTATTGAATCGATAAGACTTAGTTCCGATTTATCCGTATTAAAAAATTTCATATTAATTTTCACGTTCAATACTAAAAAATGTAAACCATTTCTATTGCCACTGTTACTCTTTTAGTTGGTTCTCAATGGCGACTTTTGAAGGTTTCTGTTTCCAGATTGGTGAAAGTCGCACTTTCTCTGAAGCAACATTAGCTTCGTAATTAGTGGATTCTCTCCAAATTATTGTCCAGCATTCGAAATTGGTCGACCAAATTCCATAAAGCAAATGCTTTTTGTGAGATGTGTTCGAACTATCAAAAGTAGGTTTCGTATATGATGGAGCTAAAACTGTGACAGTGATATTTGAGACGTTCGAGAGAATAGGTTGGTTATGATATAAAATTGGTTCTGAAACAAGTAGGGCATGGGAAAAAAGGTAGGCTCCTTCGAGTCTGCCCGCCGTTTCCTTTCAACGACCTTGAACAGCCTTTGTAGAGGCGGTAGAAGCATAAAATAACTGCTCAGAACGTCGATTTGGCATTCTGTGTTTTGTAGTGTGCACTTTAGCTCTGTTGTTGCTTCGTAACTTGATCTGTGATCCCAACTGCTGTAGTAAACGTCAACACCTTTATATAATTTGTTGATAAGGTCCACAAAACAACGTAAGAAAGATAAGATAACGTTAAACGTTATAGATACACAGAGTTTTTGTGAGTCGCTGTTAAATAAAGAAGGAGAAATGTCAACTCAACGACAAGTCCTAAATATTTGTTGTACTTCTTTCAGTTGTTTTTTTCCCAAGGAATAACATTTTAATAATTAATGCGTGTTGTCTGTAGTGCTTCATGCTCAAGTGAAATTTCAGTGGACGTAAGTTAGGCGTTTCAACGTATTATGCTGAACAAGCGACACGGAACCTGGGTTGAATTTGATTATGTGCTAAAGGATTTCCATAAATTATGGAAGAATAATTCTACGTTTTCTCAGATTACTCATACGCACTATGTTCACGCAGAAAGTAAATTGTTGAAGCATATGAGATATGAATACTTTTTTGTGGCGTTTCATTGCATGTGTGGTCGTAAACGTAAATCAGCAGGTCTGATAGTGAATAAAAAACCGTGAGGACTTTAACTAATCTGTGACATTTAAGGTCCATGTTTTTAAACTGCCAATCTAGGTTTCGTATAAGATTGGAAGGTCAAGAATACGTCATAGAATCTTACAATATGTCCCACTACCATCCTTGTAGTAGTTCATGGATGGTTTGTGATCCGTGGAGTAGAAGATTGTCATCCAAAGAAAAGCAAAACTTGAAGACAGTAATATTGCACTCAGTCAACAGATGAAGTTATAGAAAGTATTAAGGAGAGAAATAGTAAGCAGGTTATTGCTGCTGATGTCAAAACTATGAAAGCTAAACTCCACTGGTAAGTGTATAGAAATATATTTCAGGTTGTACTCGAAAGCAGGTAATGCATATGCTGCGACAAAACAGTGAATTTAGGGAGCATGTAGGAAGCATTATGAAGTGGATCTAAGCACTTGTGAGTGCAATTATAGAATATTTGTTACGTGTCGATATCCTTGCCGCCATCTGCTACTGGCATATGTTGAAAGACGAATTCATTACTGACAAGCTTAATCACTTACGAAATATAAACTACATGGCTCATCAAATTCTTAGGCATTGTTGTAGATGGAAGTAGTACTTTTGAAAGTTGAACTGCAGTGACATTGGCATCATTCCCAGAAATGAGTTTCACATTTTTTGGGTGTTAGTATGAAAATGTGAGGATCCACTGTTGTGGAATCATCACAGTAAATAGTTTGATCAATCTTTCAATTTTAGTCCGTGTTTCCCCCTTCTAAATGCAAACTTGTCTTCGAAGACCTAGACACTGTTGGAGGGACAAGGGAGATATTTGGTGATTAGGCTTAAACGTAGTAAACGACGGTGATTTTTCAGTTACCTTTAGTGTAACTAATAGATGAAGAATTACGAAGATAGCCATTCTCTTATAGTGTTCGACATAAGTGAGATGTGTCTTCGGAGCCTTTTGTTCGTTTATCTAATTCTTCAGTCCTCCACACAACGTTCCATTTAATTTGATCAATTTGAGTTATCTTTATATTTCTTCTGTGAGTATGCAACTGCATTGCATCTTGACTGATTGGACGATATTAGAAAATAAAGTGAAAGTTAAAGCTACAAGTGAAGTTCTCAACCTCGATTTCTCTCTTCTGGTTATTATTCACTCACAGAATAGACGATGAAATGCTAGATGTGATACACATGTTGAACACTGAGGGGTAGATGTACTAAATAATTCACGGACACGTCCTTCTCCGTTTGATAGTATCAATGAACTGCGTGTGATACATTGTAGTCCAAAAGAAACTTAAAGTTGCACTGAATGAGAAGTTCCTGAATATTAAAAATTTGCTCGATAACTTATCCTTCTGTTGTAGTGACTAGTGCTATTTTCAAGCCCATTTACATTGTTCTAGCTCTCGAACAGACCAACTCATTCACATTTCCAAAGCCACATTTTGACCTTGTTAGTTATTCACCTATTAACATTAACTGTCTTTGTATGAGCGTATGGGTGTGTATTGCTTACTCTATTCAACACATGTCTATAGCTTATTTTTGTCTGACTATAAATATTGAGTTTCTTTTTATCGACCCGGGTTGGCTTGGTATCCTTCTCCGCTTCGAATCGCTTTCTCATATATATATTTATGTGTTTGAATCTCACTAGTTGATTCGAATCTCCATTCAATTCTTTATTCGACTCTTAATTCGCCTCTGTATTTTCTAGCTCGCCAGCTCCTGTCAATATTTCCACTCGAATTATTTTGGTGTTCCTATGGCTTAGTTATTTGAACTATTTGATGATAAACTGCAATCGGCACTTCCTGTTGTATTCTAGATCCATACACTGTTCGTATTACTTTAATAACGGTTTTCAGGGCGATTGATGTACGAAGACTCAGGACTTGTATGGAAGCCAGTTCACTACAGCATAACACCACTTCTCATGTTCTGCGAATTTAACTAAAGTAAGGAAACTGGTAACGATTGAGAAATCAGACAATAGGTATAGTAAGCACTGTGGATAATTACAACTTCCACAAGCAAGCTTCATATTTAGTAATCCTTAAAAAATAGTGGAATTTCCGTATAGGTCCTTTTGTTTGAACGCAATTGCTCATATTGTCAGGTTTGCGCTCTAGAACCACCTAGAATGAATTCTTGTTATTAAAAGTTTCGGAGGTTTTGAATAGTAAGAATTATCGTAAGTGCCCTTAAGACTTTATTGAAATGGAAATCGTAGTAATTGTTTGTTGTAGCACTGTAACCGCTGTATTATCACGATTGACTTTCTATTTCCGCCGTTTTCGGGGTCTATTATAATTACTTGTGCGACTGATCATTTACTTTACGTGGGGAATATGTTATCCAGAACTACACGATACTTGAACCAGATGTAACAATCCTTTAGCTTGTTAAAGAGGAATTTCGGTCGCACTGGTTAGTAAGTAGCGATACTTCGATACTGATGCTGACGTTAATAATCCTGTCAATTACAGCATTATCTGTGGGCTTTCTGTCAAGCATCCCCACTAGGTCACGCCTGGACACTCCGCACTGCACGTCTCTAAAGACCACTTGTTGCTTTATATTCCATAGAATACAGTATATTGATTTTACTTCTCATATACATTTGCATTCCATCCCCCTTAACTTCTCATTTGTCTGACTTTGGAGTCATTCCGCAAAAAGAGGTATCAATTGGTTGGTCTTTTATTGAAGAAGGTGAACTACTGACTCTCTGAACTAGGTGAAACCATTGAAATTGGTTCAATATGAACGCACGTCCGTACCGTGAAGAGGTATATCACGCATCTCTGTTTGTCTATGCTGACAATACGTTTGCCTTATTTGGACATAGTACACATTCCAATTATCAAATCCTTTTGTATATACGATATCCAGCCTCCTTATTATGAAATAGTCATGAACTCACACTATTCTGGTCTCATTTGGTCGAAAAGATTTATTCAAAGTATGATACAATATAAACTTAATTTTCATATCATTAATATAACGGATCATAATGACATAGGAATAAATAGACACAAACATTTATCGAAAAAATAATAATTAACTTGCATACATAAAAACTAGACAAAACAGTATATAAGATTATTTGACAAAACTTGGTTTGATCAATAAGTGCTTACTTACTTACGCCTGTTACCCCTCGTGGAGGAGTATAGGCCACTCACCAGCACTCTCCATTCAACTCTGCCCTGAGCAATCCTTTCCAGTCGCTATTCATTCTTTTCACGCCTGCTTCTAATTGTCGGCGCGATGTGTTCTTTGGTCTTCCTCTTTTCCGTTTACCTTCAGCATTCCAAGTTAGCCATTGCTTCGTAACGCAGTTTAGTGATTTCCTCAAAGTGTGTTCTATCCACTTCCAACGTCTTTTCCTAATTTCCTCTCCAGATGGAAGCTGCTTTGTCTTCTCTTACAGTAGCATGTTGCTCATAGTATCCGGTCAACGGACATTGAGTATCTTGCGTAAACAACTGTTTATAAGTACTTGTATCTTTTTTATGATGGTTGTAGTTCTCCAAGTTTCAGCTCTATACAGTAGAACTGTTTTGACGTTCGTATTGAAGATTCTCACTTTGATGTTGGTTGACAGTTGTTTTG